ATTCTGCCTGTCCAAATCTCTTCCCAGGGAAACTCCTGTGTATTCTAAACCCTCTCTATATATATTTACTGCAACCAAGACTGTATCCCAGATCCTGGTGATCCTTCAGGGTGTGTTATTACTGGAGCATTAACTGTTCCCTAATGTTCCATTGGAGCTGAACTTTTCAAACATATCCCAGAATAACTGGTCCTGACCACCCCTCTTGGGGTATCACCAGGAGGATACTGGGGTGACCTGCCTGGGAGTTTTTTCTACAGTGGATGTGGAGAAATTACCTGGAATTCTGGACATATGATGGGAACTGTAGGAGCAGCACTGGAGAATTGTCACATTTCTCACAATTAAGCCTAAACCCGCACTGAAAAGTGAACAGAGTTCCACTATCCTGGTGAAAGTGGTCCCTGCACTGCAGCCTGTCCCCTGGGGATCTCTGAATAACAGGGTTCATTTGGGGTCCAGAAGGTGACCAAGGGAATGACCAAGATCTCCAAGTTGGAGACAACCATTAATATTGTTTATGGGGTTCATGTCTAGATTAGGGAACCCCTGACTGAGACAAGTGGGATTTATGGGTGTTTGCACCATGTAGGATGGGGGTTGTAATTTTAGTTTGCAAAGTATATTGAGCCCTTTTGATTTACCACTGACTGATGGAGTGACCTTGAGCAAAACACGCCGTCTCCCTACACCAGGAGAGGAGAGTGGGGCAGGAGGGGTTTGACAAGGCATTTTTCATTTGAAAATGCCAGTTCACTGAAACTGGAACTCTTCAGGAAAAAAAGTATCAGTTTGGGTGGATTTCTTGTTTGGAATTTTTTGGGTCCAATGAAAAGTTCTTTGGTTTTTATTTCCCAGCTGACTTTTCTTCCCGAATTAATTTTCTATTTCTAGTAGCTGCAACAAATATTTCAGAGGTCAGAAGCAAACCATCTGGAGCCTGCCTTATACTAGTTCAGATCTCGAGATTGCAATATTTGATTTTCTCTTGCAATTCAGAAGTTTTCCAAAATCCTCATCAATTAGCACGAGACGGACAAACCTTCCCACCACTAATGGGTGGTGCTGCCAGCTGCAAACAGAGTGTTTGTCCTGTCTGTGACCAGCTGTGGAGCCCTGCTCCCTCTGTATCTGTGAGGAACCTTGGCATCTCCAGGCAGGAGTGTGCAGAAAGGAGCTGCAATTCCATGTCCACCTGGATGCCTCTTCCCCTGCTCCCTCCGAGGTGAAGTGCAATTGCTTTTTGCCCTTCCCCCTCTGATCTCACCAAATTGAAGCAGGGAGAGACTCCACCAGCAGGACCTGCCTCTGGATTTGCAGTCAGAAGCCATCCCCAATAACCATCAGGCTGTCAGCTCCCCCCACCTCCCACCTCCCCCATCACTCACCAAAAGGAAAAAAGAGCTGGAGCCACAGCTTGAAATATATCATGCAATAGTGTATCATGAATTTCTTGTGAATCACATTGGTGAAGCAGGTTTATTTATTTCCGAGACTCTAAATCAATACAAAGTAGGTCTCTTAGTTCTGAAGCTGGGATGGAGTGGGAAAAAATGAGCCCATTGTACTCTTAAAACTTTGGGGAAAGGAGATGACAGCTATATAATTCCATTTACCAGGCACTAGGGGCTTTAATGTGAAGGTGACAGGGAGCTCTTTGTGCATTTAGAGCACCATATCTTCTAAATAAAAGATCTGTAGACTTGATAGTGGAGTATAGCTCTGACTTTAATAATCTCCAAGCATTAGACCGAGCCAATCTGTTCCCCAGTCAGAAGGGTCCCCCACCGAACGCTCGTAAATTAGAAGTGCGGGGACTGCACGGATTCCTGGATTAGGGATGCAGGAAGGGCCCTGTGTCTCCAGGCAGAGAGGAGCTGTCTGTGCTCCCACTGCCTTGCAGAGAGGCTGGGCTGGGGAAGGGGTTTATGCTGGAGCATCCCACCTCAGCTTGGCTCTCCTCTTGTTCCTGCTGTTTTCCCCTCTAACGACACGATCCGTGTGGGGGAAGAGCCGAGTGCTGGAAATGAGCACTGAGATCTGGCGAGGCTTGACTGCACATAATAGCAGCCAGGTTTGAAGTTCCTACATTGTGTTCCTACATTTTTTTCTGATGAGACATTCATTCCCATCATTTCTGCCTGTTTATGAAAAATAGGCTATTTATAGGACGTGCATGTGCCTCTTCTGCTTCGGGTTTCTGGCAGATGATATAAATTGTGGGATGGGAATTGCAATTATTGAAATTATTCGGATAAAATCTGGCACTTATATTTGATATAAACACATGATATGCTCGGAATAATAACAGCACTTATGTTGCATAATGATTCCCATTCAAGCCCTCTGCTGTCATTTTTTTAGATCCTTCATCTTGGATGAAACAGATGAGCCAACCCAGCCCTCGGCCAGCCCAGCTTTGCAGGGAATGTCCCAACTCACCAGCAGCTCAGGTTCTCAAAGGAGAAAGCAGCTGGTCAGGATGGTTTGGAGTGATAGAAAATTGTTCATATGCACATGGCATACCTATAAACCCGTTGAGGACCATATTTTGGAGGCTGGAAAGGCTGCTTTTTTGCTCTTGGAAGTTCTGTCTTCAGGAGCCTCAGCTCAGGACTTCTCCAGCACCTTCCCTTGTACCCTTGGATATTTTCTTGTGGAAATGTTAGCACAGCAATATGCATTGCACTGTTCAAGATTGTTAATTGGAGATTGAATTACTTGTCAGCCTTTAGCAATGGAGCCCTGTGAGGTGGGAGTGGGGGTGGCAGAGCCGAGGGACGAGCGGTCGCCCTCGTGTTCCCAGGCCCAGTCTCGCTGTCTCTGGGCTGCCTTTCTGCAGGAACCTGGAGTGCCAGGACAAGGGGGATGGCTTCCCACTGCCAGAGGACAGGGTTAGATGGGATATTGGGAAGAAATTCTTGGCTGTGAGGGTGGTGAGGCCCTGGCACAGGTTGCCCAGAGAAGCTGTGGCTGCCCCATCCCTGGAAGTGTCCAAGGCCAGGTTGGATGGGGCTTGGAGCAACCTGGGATAGTTCCTGCCCATGACCAGGGAGCTGGAATGAGATGAGCTTTAAAGTCCCTTTCCACCCAGACCATTCTGGGGTTCTGTGATCCTCTTGACCCCCCTGAGTGCCTGGTGCCTGCCCTGGGGGTGGAGCAGCTTGTTCTGCCTTTGGGCTGTGCTGAGGTCGGGGGCTGATTTGGAGCTCCCCTGTGCTCTCCTTCCCTGCTCCTTCTGAGCACCTGCCTGGGGCTCACCTGTGCACATCCATGTCCCAGACACTCCTCAGTACCACCTTCCCCTGGGGCTGGGGCCCTCCTGTCTCTGCTGCCAGCCCTGCCAGGTAAACACAGCCCTGGCTGGGCGTGCAGGGGATTGCACGTGCACAGCCCTGCACTCCTCTGGAATGGCTGCAGCACTCGGGAGAAGGAGCTGCATATTTATCTTGATCTCCAAAAAGGGATTTAAGGGCCAGAGCAGGCGGTATATTAGGCTGTTTCATTGCCTGTCAGCAGTGCTAAACCTGAGCTGTCTGCAGTGTCTCCAGATAAGCAGTAGCAGAGGCCCATTTTGCATGTGCATACGTTTGCATTAGTTCAGAGAGGGGGAGTTTAAACCCTCTTTATTTTTATTTTCCTCTGTGGAAAGCATTTAGCTAGGCTTGTGCCTGGCATCTGGAGGCTTGGGCTTTTCTTATCCTTGAACCTAAATCTATGCTGCTGTCTTTTCTACCATGGCTTTGCATGGCACTGATTTTGTTAGAGGAAGATGAAGATGTTTCAGCTCAGAAGGGAGACCCGGGAACAGCCCTGAGCTAAACCACTGTGGTTACATTTTATTCTAAATTTTTGGGACTAGTTGTGTAACTTCTGTGCCTCGGTTTATTCTCTGCATAAACCTTGAGTGACATCTGCCTGCTCTTCTCTCTCCAAAATGAGCAGTGCTGGGTGTTTGGTGGGGGAGGCCGGGCCGTTTGCGTGTGTTTGAGGGGTTTTTTAAGATCCAAATGAAGCAGGTGTGTAATGTCCTCTGTCTGTTAGAAAGACTCAGCCCATAAAAATAACAAACGGCGTGTATTTGCTAGAATGTCAAAGTTATGAGTTTATTTTGTAATGATGTGCTCCTGCCTTCATGAGGTAAACTGGCCGTGGCAGAGGTGTTATTAGTAATATGGAGTCAGTGGAGCAGAAAGCCGAGTGACCGAGAGATCAGTGTATCAGTCAGGGAGAGGGCAAATGGGAAGAGACAGCAGGAGAATGAGAAAAGAGCCGCGGTGCCCGGGCTCAGATTAGAGATGGAGCCGTGCAAGAGAATGAGAAGCCACAGCCTTGTTCTGTCCAGCCTCTTGAAGGAGCTGCTGGGGCTTTGTCTTTGCTGTACCAGTCTGGGTTTTTTTCCCTCAAAAAACCACCCTACCAGTTGTCTTGGAGCAATTTGGAATTAGTGAGCTGAGCTGGTCTAAGACGTGTATTGGCTCTGTTGCTGCCTGGGGAAGGGCAAGGGGTAAAACTACCCCCTGCCTCAGCTTCCCCACTTGTATCATTCCCCTTGGGGATTGCAGAATCCCAGTATGGTTTGGGTTGGAAGGAATCCTAATTTCAACCCCCCTGCCATGAGCAGGGCCACCTTCCTCCAGATCAGGTTGCTCCAACCTGGCCTTGGACACTTACAGGGCTGAGGCAGCCACAGCTTCTCTGGGCAACCTGTGCCAGGCCCTCACCACCCTCACAGGGAAGAATTTCTTCCCAATATCCAGTGTAACCCTTCCCTCTGTTTCCTGGGGATCACTGTCCATTCTGATCACTTGGGATCAGTGTCCATAAGCTCTTACTTGCACAGGGGGCATGGGAAGGTCTCTTGGGAGTAGCTTGCTCCATCCTTTACGTGCCCAAGTGATCATGAGGTGCTGCAGGGATGGGTTTGTGTGTCTCTCCTTAGCCAACACCTTCTCGTCACAACCCCATCCCTGATGGTTTTCCCGTTTTCCTTTCCCAAGGTGCTTGGACGGGAAGTTTACACCTCCAACAACCAGCTGGGCGGGATCCAGATCATGCACAACAACGGGGTGACACATGACACGGTCTGTGATGACTTTGAAGGAGTCTACACCATCCTGCAGTGGCTTTCCTACATGCCAAAGGTAATTCCTGGACCTGCAGAGGCCCAAGGTGCCACTACCTGGTTGCAGGGTTTGGGGGCCGGGTGCTCTCTCTCTGTCTGGGTTTTTTTTCTGTGTTTTTATGTCCAACAAAATGGTTTAGACTGGTGGTTGAGGCTGTTGGGCATTATGGAATTAAGTAAATAAAATAGTGTTTGTCTTAAAATGCTGCAGGAATATGGGGCAGCCTGGAACTGCCTTGGGTATCTTCACATCAGCCTCCTGGCTGCTGCCCGCAGGACCTTCTGCCAGCAGTAGGTTGTCTCTGGCTGAAATGACTCCAAAAATCCCCTCTGAGGCAGCAATTTGCAGAGCTGATGTTTATGTGTGAGCTGCTCTGCAGCCAGGAAGGGAGCAATGTGAACACACAGGTGACCTTCCTGCAGGAAAGAGGGAATGGAAGGAGGCAGGAGCCCTGGTCACCTTCCAGAGATTAAATTACAGCCCCTCACTTGTCTGGATATGCCACAAGTTCAAGAGCAAATTAAGCACAGTGTGTACCAGAGGAGGCCAAAGGTGGGGTTTGAGAGAGGATGGAGCACTGTGGAAGTCTCTTCAGGCTCTGGCAAGGCTCTGGGGTCCCGTCAGTCTCAGGGGCCTGCAGGGGGGGAAAGAGAAATCCGAGCACGTCCTTTGGAGCTGGGGTTTGGTTTTGGAGAATCACTGCCTTCAATATTTTTCTTTTTCCCTTAGAATATACACAGCCCTGTGCCTATCCTCAAAGCCAAGGATCCTATAGACAGAACCATTGACTTTGTGCCCACCAAGGCTCCCTATGACCCTCGCTGGATGCTGGCTGGGCGCCCCAACCCGAGTACGTCCCTCTGTGGTGGCCAGGACATGCAGTGACACACCTTGGTTTCAATACTTGTTGGCAAGGCTTTATGTCTGCAATCCAAATATATTTCAGAGTTTACGAAATAATTACTTCTAAACAATTTGAATATAATTTTATAAATATTTTTCTGTAATATCTAAAAATAGGATGTAAGTTCTGGGTGCCTGAGGGCACCTACAATTATTAGTTTTATAGGTTATGTAGTTACTTAGAATAGTTACTTTTATAGATTTTGTTATGATTTAGAGGAAAGTCCATTCACAAAGGGTCTGTATGGTGAAGGAATCCCAGTGTTCCTGCAGATCTTGGGGAATTATTGTATTGGCACCACTGCAAACCACGGAACCCCCGTTGGGGTTGTTGCAGCCTGTGTAGGTGCAAGCTGCAAACTGGGTGAGCATTACTCCTGCTGTTATTAATGAGTTTGGGGGGCTAAAATGAGATTTGTGATAAACTAAGTTTTCTGGTTTTGGATAATATTTTTTCATCATCTCTCAAGTAATTCATCCAGCTGTCTGAGCGCCGCTAACGCCGGCTCCCAAATCGAGTGACTTCAGATTTTAATTTAGTGGAAGCGTTAGGGAAAGCAGATGATTCCCTGTGATAAGTTAAAGCAGATATCTCCTAGGTGAAAAGTTAAAGCCATTTATTAGAGGAGATATTGCCGTGATATTCTTCAAACTGACGCCCGACACGAGGCCAGAATCTAAACGATCAGCTTTGGGCTTGTGATAAAGAGATAATTTTGAAATGGATGGTCACATTTTACAGTGGGGCCACAGAGGCAAGGAATGTAGAACACAGTAATTACAAGTTTGGTCTTGATAAAACACTCTCCATCCTGTTTAAGTCAGCAGAGGTTACCGTGCTTGGATCTCCACTTTTTAATTGGTTTTGGACTTGGGTTTGCAGAAGCAGAGGTGCTTGTTCAGATTAAAAAGTTCCTCAGGAGCTGTGTGCCCAGGGGTGAAGCTGGGAGGCATTTGGGGTTTTTGGGGGACTTCTTTGTGGATTTTTTTTTTTTTTTTTGCAGAGCTTCCCAAAGCCCCAGTGCAAAGCAGGTGCCCCCAGAGCGATGTGTTTTCTGTAATTGTGTCTGAGTTCTAAAGCATCATCAAAATTTTCGTATTTAGTTCCTGGGTCTCTGCAACATTCCTTCTTTAAAGGAAAGATCAGGCAGAATCGAGAGAGAAAATGTGAGATAAGTTTTCAAATAGAAATAGGTGTTTTGAAAAACATCTTTAATGACTTTACTGCCTTTTTGACAAATGTTTGTAGTCTTGACAAAACCAGAGTTATTTATTTAAAAGCAGGGGAAGTCCCTCTGCTACCCGAACCCCATCGTTTAACAATAAATGATGCTTTTGCTGATAAATTGCTGCCTTTATGCAGACTAGGAAATGAAATAAGACACGATGGCTGAAGGCAGACAAATGCTCTGCTGTCTAATGTTCCCTTGTATTGTCATCTATTTAAAAATAAATAAATAAGGAGGCAGTGCCACGTTCCCCAGGTGGAATTTTCAAGCAAGTTTCAGTTGCTGCTTTGATACTCTCTTTTCTTTCCTCCCTCCCTCCGTCCTCCTCTGATATTTCCCTGTTCTCCTTTCCCTCTAGATCAGAAGGGGCAGTGGCTGAGTGGGTTCTTTGACAACGGTTCGTTCATGGAGATCATGCAGCCTTGGGCACAGACAGTCGTGGTGGGGAGAGCAAGGTGAGTTCTGAGAGATGTTTCAGACAACTGTAGAAACCAAGTTTTGGTTACACTTTGCATTTGTGTAGAACACAACATCCTGTGATTATTTATTTCTCTCTATATGTGTACCTGTGTCTGTCTAGTAGAAAGTGTCCCTGCCCATGATGGGCGGTTGGAATGAGATGATCTTTAAGGTCCCTTCCAACCCAAACCATTACATGATTCTGTAATTCTGTGATTTAAAGGCTTTTAGGCCCCTGTGCCAGGGGGTGGAAATCAATGATTTGGCAAAGCCAGAAGCTGCTCTGTCCAGGCCCACGCTCAGCTTTGCTTGCAGTTCCTTTCTTCTGACAAATTCCAAGTGGCTTTGGACTCTCACACAGCAGGGATATATAACACAAATGAAACAGACTCCTTTCAAAAGCAGTGGCACTTTGAAAAAAAAAAACAAATATGAATGTATTCTTCTGGGATTTTTACTGTAAGTGCTGCCAAAACTCATCTCTTGTATGTATGTTTGGAATATGTGTGCTGTTGGCTGTAAATTGTCTTTTATTATTCTATGGCAACTTGTCCAGGGACACACTATAAAACAAGATGTAGCATCTTCATGTGCTGGCCTGATAAAATTTATATGAAGTATTATGGAAAACAGAAGTTGTTTTGAGCTGTTTTCAAGTTCAATAAATAACTGTAATACTTGGATAAAGATGTTCTTTATTAGGTCACATGGGCCCTAATATAGAAGTTATAAGTTACCGATTTAAGACGGCTTCTGCAATTACGGGGTTCCAGCAGACTCTTAATCATAGGGAATGGGAATATTTCCAGCCCCTCAGTGCACATGGGCCCTGTCTCTTCCCTGCCTGTACGTGTGTCATCCAGCTTGGGGTGGCTGAGGAGGGAGTGTGGGCTCTGCTGGGACTCCGTCCTGGGAACGTGGAGCCGTCGTCGGCAGCACGGTGGCTTTTGTGGGAAGGGGTGGTTGGATTCGGTGTCAATCCCAAACTCGGGGTGATGGCAGGTGAGGGGTGATGTGGAGACGTGGATGTATCATTCAAAATTTGGGTTTGGTTTGTTGTGTTTAATTTCCGGTGAGGAATGTGCCCATTTTTAGAACTGAATTTGGCTTTGGGAACTGTGGCTTCTCCTCTGGCGTTCCCCAGCCGCTCGTCCCTGCTCTTCCGAAGGCCAGAACGCTGCTCCCACTGTTTGATGTGTTATTTGTCTCTCCTGGGTATTTTGATGCAAATTGGAAAAACTATCTAGTTGTGTAAGAGTTGAAATAGGAATTCTGATTTGTCTGCCTTGTTTCCAGGCTGGGAGGAATACCTGTAGGAGTAGTTGCCGTAGAAACAAGAACGGTGGAGCTCAGCATTCCTGCTGATCCTGCAAACCTGGACTCGGAGGCCAAGGTGGGTTGAACACGTGCCCTGTTCCCTGTTTGTCCTCTGCAAATGTCTCTGTGGAAGAAGCACCTGTTTGGGTGGGACTTTTCCCCCTCAAATGTGGTGCAAATGTGTAGCCATTCCCTGGTGAGGTGGGAATGCCTGGCAGCTGCTGGGAGGGGTGCCCGGACCGTCGTGTTGGCCATTCCTGCAGGAGACACGTTCCCCAGCAGTCCTGCTTCCCTTAGGACTCAGGTGAGGTGCAGGGACAAGGGCCCAGGAGATGTGACAAGCAAAAGTCACTTCCCTGCTCACTTTCTGTGACCAGAGGGTTTCATGGTCTTCCTGCTCTGACATTTTGCTTTTCCCCTGTCTGATTTCACAGCTCTGTCCCTGCCTCATCCCTTTGGGGTTTTCTCCTCTCCTTTCTCTTCCTTCTTCCCCTTCTTACAGCAGCTGTAGTGTCAGGCTTTCCATACCATCTCTATTCTTAGCTAAGTGACTGGGAATGCTCCTGTTGATATTGGTGACAAAAGGATTGTCCCAATTTTTCCGTGGCCAAGCAGATCCCATGCACTCCATGTGCCACATCCCTCGTTGTTTATCCCACATCTCAGCAACTGTTGAATCTGTTTCTGTGTTTTTCTGTCAACTCTTACATGAGTGTGTTCCAAGGCTTAACAGTGGATTCTCCTTCCCAACAGATAATCCAGCAGGCTGGTCAGGTGTGGTTCCCTGACTCTGCCTTCAAGACTGCAGAGGCCATCAAGGACTTCAACAGGGAAGGGCTGCCCCTGATGGTCTTTGCCAACTGGAGAGGTTTCTCTGGTGGAATGAAAGGTAACCAGCACTTTGGATCCTTGGTGTGTCCTGGAGGGTGATTTGTCTTGACTGCTCAGAGGGCACCACACAGTCCTGCTCTGAATTTTGTGGGGTGCCAGGAGTGTGAGATCACTCCTATGGGATTTAAAGAAGTTAAAGGGGTAAGAGGCCTCTTACCTGTGTGTGGCAGCTCATCAGCACAGGGGAGGAGTTACAGGGGCACTGACGTGGTGGAAGTTCCTGCTCTGGAAGGCTCACAGGGTGACAGAGGCTGCTGGGCTCTGCTGTCTCATTAGAAGGACACAAAGCAAAGCCTTTGAGTTGGCAGATGCAAAGATGGGAGGTGGCAAAAGGTGGCAAAATTATTTCCTCTGGAAAATACCTGTTACCTTTCAGGGTGGATTCTGCTCCATGTGCTGCTGCTTTCTCCCTTTGTGACTTGCTTTCCCAACCACACAACAAGTTGTTGATGTAATTTTACTTTATTTATTTACCTTATTAAGACCTTAGATATTATTTTACCTTAAAATGCCAGATCTGGCTTTGCCAGTGCCCTTTGCTGGGTTCCTCAGAAACTGAGTTTAGCTCTGGATTTGGGACTAAAAGCCCAAGGAGGAAAGAGACAGTACAAGGTTGTTAATATTTATATTACATATCCCAACTTACTCCACCCCAGCTGGGAGGAGGAAGAGGAGGGAAGGACAGAGCCATTGCAGTTGGCACCTTGCTCCGTGCATTTTCCTGCCTCTTGTTTGCTGGTGGTGTCTCCTGACACTCTCTGTGTCCCTTGGGGAGTTGTTTGCAGTTTTGGTTTCAGTGCTGGCTGGGGATTATGCAGGGAGGGAAAATAAACAATTATGCCACCCCTCAGTGCACACAAACACACTGCCAGGAGCCGACTGCACTGTGGGTAAAATGACTCCAAAATTGTGTGTAATGAGTAGGAAAAGATTAGAGACAGCTCTTGCTATGCTGAAAATTGACATTAGTGGAGGGGGAGGGAAAAAAAAAAAAGAGGGAAAAAATACCCCCCTCTTCCCCAGTCGGCCTAGGAGGTCTAATTCCCGCCGTAAAATAAATAAATAACGCCATAAATAACGGCGGCTCGCGGCGCCGGTGCCGGCGGTTTCCCCCCAACGAGCTCTCTCCGGCCAGAAGGCTCTTCAGCATAATGCAAAATTAAATTATGGAAAAAAAAAAGCTGGCTTGAATATTTAGATGGAGGAGCCATTTGGCAGGGGTTTATTTAGGCGAACCGGCGCTGACCCACGACGGGGGGACATCAAGCGTGAAATTCGCTGGAAATTAGCACCGGGGTCCCGGGCTCGGCGGGGACGGGCTGATAGGATGCAAATCCCCACGACATTAAACTGTGCTGCGGGGTCACTCACGGCTGGGGCTTCGTGTTTTACTTATTATTTTTGCCCGGGACAGGTTATAAATAACGATAAAAAATAATAATAATAATAATGATAATGATAATGATAAAAGAAAAAAGAACCCGGCGGAATGAAAAGCGCCGGTTTTAAATCCCGGAGCCCCCCCGGCTGGCGGGAGGTTTTGTGTGCCATGGGTTTGTGAGGGGGCACGATGTGCCTCAGCCAACACTGCCTGGTGTTTACCTTCAGGTCCCATCTGATAATGCAGCCAAGCTGGTGAGATCCGTTCCAGCTTCGGAGGTTCAGGGCACGTTGCCCGGCACGGTGGGGATGCACAGAGCTGTCTGCAGCCTTCCCAGCACGGGTGGTGCACTGAGGGCCAATATTTACACACATGGTGTGATGATAAGAGCTGCCAGCAGGCTTGGGGTCTGTGTGGGGTGGACACCGATGCTCAGAGCAGCAGAGACCAGGACAGAGCTCTGTGAGCACTCCCTGCCCTCCTGCAAACCCAACACTGGGGCACTTCTGCAGCATCTCCACCTTGCAAGTGGCTTATTAAGAACAGCCTGTTCTTAAAATGTTTGTGGTGTTCTTGGCTCACGATGGTGATGGAAGTGTCTGGGGTTAGTTTTAAACACAGTTAAGTGTGTTAGTCACAGTATTAAGTTTATGGAGTCTGCACCCTGCCAAGGCACTGGAGCACAGAGCACTGGGCACCACGGGGCACTTACCACCTGCAGCAGGTAAAGCTGGTGCTCTGTTTTCCTTTGTAGGAGTGGAGAATGCAACAGAACTGCCAAGAAGAGGCAGCTGTCCCAGTATGGCAAATATTTTATAGTTTCACACTCAAATACGATGTTGAGGTAAATCAGGGAGGTCGTGTGTTGTGGAGGTCAGATGTGGGCACCACTGGCAGGTGCCTTGGGCTGTCTTTGCAGCATTTATGTGATCTTTATCAACTGTATTTTTATTTCTTAAAAATCGACATTTTTTGAATTTCCACTCAAAGTGCAGGCAAATTGAACAGTTAAGACTTAACTGAGTACGGAACCATAGGGTCCTGAAGTTCCTCCTCCATGGCTCTGAAAGGCTGATCCTGAGAGATCTGTAGGCACAGAAATACTTCCCTGACCACCTGATGGCACCTGGTAAATAAAACACTTCCCCAATACCACCTGCTAAACCCAAAGGAGATTTGGAGCTCTGAGGAAGCACCGAATTCCCCCAGTTTCTCTGCTCCTCCTCCCCTTGCCCTGTTCAAACAAGTGGTGCTGCTCTTTTCTGCACTTCACCTGAGTAAAATATATACCCGTGGCAGGGGTGAAAAATGTATTGCTAATTACACAATTATTTTATTATGTAGCACTAGTAAAAAATGTCTAGTAAAGGATTAATTCAGTTAAAATAATTTGAATCAAGCAATTATTTTCTTAACACTGGAATTAGCTGAAAGTACTTCAAGTGGTTTATTACTAGCACTACATAATAAAATAATTGTATAATTAGTAATAAATTTGTCACCCCTTTTGAGTCTTTTTCTTTGCTCAGGACAAAGGGAAAGGTTGGAGTTTTGTTTGGTTCTCAGTCCCCACTGTCTCTGCCAGGATTTATATTTATTCCCAATTAGAGGGAATAAATTTTTCTTCTCTTTGTCAGAATTGGATATCTCTTAAATAACATGAAATTCCTTTTCTTGAGTACTTGGACAATGACCTTGGAAATGAAGTGGAGAGATCACATCAGTGCTAATATATATAGATATTATATATATATATATGTATACATACCACACATATTTTATACACCTCTCTCGCTCTATATATGTTAGTGTGTATATATATATTTGTATATTTATATAATATAAAAAAGTATGTGTGTGTGTGTTTCCCAAAGAGTCAAAAGCTTAATTATGTTCATGTTAAAGCTTAACATTGAAATGAGGGTTAAATGACAAGTGGACCTTGGCTGGAGTCTCGTTCCTCCCCAGAAATGGTGGTTTTCTTAAGTGATAGAAGAATTTTAGATGCTTAAAAGTCTCAGTCTTTTCAGACTGTTTATTACAGCAGGTGTGTGAGATATATAAATGGAGCTCCTTATTTTTCCTGCTCTCTGCACTGGTGTTTTAAAAAATTAGGCAAACTGGGAGGGTCCAAGCAAGGGAGCAAAATGATGAAGGGGGTCAGGATAGTGTCCTGGGAGAGATGAGGGATGAATTCCTGTGGTGTCTAAGGAAAGAAACCCACTGAAAAGCCTCCTGCTATTTGTAGTGAGCCTGAAGGAGTGGAGAGATTATGTAGGGTGGGACAGGGGGTAGTAACATGAAATTAATGGGGAAGGAGGGGAAGTTTGGCTGAGCACTGAGGAAAATCTCATCTGTTTGGCTGTGGAAATGCCCCTAAAGAAGCAGTAGATTTATTGTGTGGGATTTCTAAATGGAAGCTTTCAGAAGCACTGGGGAAGAACAGTCCTGTGTGAACAAAGAGATGGACTAGATGATCCTAATAACTATTTTTCATTTCTTGTGTATTTGATTTAATACTTCCACATATAATTATATGTAACAAAATATATATATTCAAGAGTGCCTGTTTCCATTACAAACTGTATCCATTAGAAACTATATCATCTCATGGAAATTCTTTTGCCTTCCCTTTCTCTCTTTTTATTTAAATCACCTTTGGGGCTGATATTTTCAATGTAGTGTCTTTACACAGTGGAGTTGTTCTTATTAATTTTGAGCAAAATGCCTTAAACAAATTTTAATGGAAGGAGAGCGGAATGCTGCTTCCCATCCCTCCCCACACACATTTTTATGGAGATCTGGAAAAGCTCTGTTGCTGTCAGGTGCGTTTTTATGCACGTTACATGAGTTGTGGGAGAGGTGCAGGGCAGTGAGTCTGAAACTGGGCAGCTTGTGCTCGTGTTGAGTACAGAAATACCCAGCCTGACTTCCTGAACTGCGGGAATTCTCCTTGGATTGGCTGGGAATCAGGGATGGATCATCTCCAGGGCACCTGCTGTAGAGGGGCTGGTGTGAGCTGAGGACCTGCAGCCCTGTGAGTAGATGTGGTTTCATGGGAAGTCACCAGACTGGATTTCCAGAGTGGAGGTGCCATGTCTGGGAGCAGGGATGGTGTGGGAACTCCCTGCAGGCTGGAGAGGGACTTTTCACAGGGGCTTGCACTGATAGAACAAGGGGGAATGGCCTTAAACTGAGGGAGGGTAGATTCAGGTTGGATTTTAGGAAGAAATTCTTTACTATAAGGGTAATGAGGCCCTGGCACAGGTTACCTAGAGAGGAACCTGTCCCTAGAAGGGTCCAAAGCCAGGCTGGACAGGGCTTGGAGCAACCTGGGCTAGTGGGAGGTGTCTCTGCCCATGGCAGGGGATGGAACAAGATGAGATGATCTTTTAGGTCCCTTCCAATCCAAACCATTCTGTGATTCCATGGTCTTACAATATCCCTACTCTGGTCCTGGTTCTTCCCCCAGACTGGTTTTGTTGACCTTCACCAGGGTGGAACGAGTTGGGCTCTAAGGTCCCTTCCAGTCTAAACCATTCCATGATTCTACGATTCTGTCACCTCCTTTCTCAGCCCCATCTCTCCCAGCTGCAGAGAACAACAGCTGGAATTGTAGCAGGAGTGGGAAGAGCTGAGCAATGGTGTTTTTCCCCGCCGTGACCGAGCGCGGCAGGGCCGGAGCACCGACGTGCCGTGACTCCAGGAGCTGTGTCCTCTCTCCCCAGACATGTACGACCAGGTGCTCAAGTTCGGTGCCTACATCGTGGACGGCCTGCGGGAGTACCGGCAGCCCGTGCTCATCTACATCCCCCCGCAGGGGGAGCTCCGGGGCGGCTCCTGGGTTGTCATCGACCCCACCATCAACCCGCGGCACATGGAGATGTACGCGGACCGCGAGAGCAGGTACGGCCCCTCCTCCCTGGAGGCAGGACTGCCCCAGAACCTCCCAACCCCAGAACCTCCCAGCCTCAGAACCGCCTCAGAACCTCCCAGCTTGGTGGGGCACTTTGTTATTGAGGGGCTGCACCTCCCCGGGTGTGACCCCCGAGGAGCCTCGTGGGTGTTTTTGGTGTGGATAAATCACAGCTAAGAGGAGTCTTGTTCTCTCTCTGTTTTGTCTCCCTCCCCCGTTCTCTTACCTTCCACACACATTGAATCATTCCATTCTGTGTTTCCCCTTGTCGGATGACCTGAAAGTGCCTTTCTTTTCTCTCTTCCCATCACTGCTCAGAGGGGGGATCCTGGAGCCGGAGGGGACAGTGGAGATCCGATTCCGGCGGAAGGACCTGGTGAAGACGATGCGACGAGTGGACCCTGTGTACATCCGCCTGGCCGAGCGCCTCGGTACGTCAGCGGGGGGCTGGTGGGTGGGAGAGACCCCAAAAAGGGGCACTGAGGCATTGGATCAAATTCCTGACTATTTACTGGTGTCTAAGTTGGGAAGAAACCAGATGAGACCAGCAGCGTGTATGTCCGTGCGAGGAGATTCCTGTGTTTAGCACACCTGGGGTATGGGTAAATAGCGTCTTTTTATACTGATTTATTTTTTTTATTTATATATTTTATTGACTGGATCTCACAACAGACCCTTACTACAAATGCTTGAGTCCAGTTTCCTTCCCAGCAGTCGCTCAGCTCACTAAAACCTCGCAGGCCAAACCTTCTGCTGGTGTCGTTTTGCGTAACCAAGAATTTGGTCAAAGGCATTTTGTGCTGCTGGTCTGTCACTGGGTGTCTGAGGCAGTTTGCAGTAATGACATCTGTGTGCTCCTCAGTTCCAAGGGAATCAGGGCTGTTCTCCTCCTCTCTGTGCACAGGGGGTGCTGTGCAGTGCTCGGCGCTGGCCCAGCACGGCGTGTGCCGGGTTATTACCGTGCCTTCCGCTCCGAGTGATCCCGGCACTCAACAGCCCAAAATACAGAGTGTTCAGCAAAATGCACTTAATATCAGATATGTCCTCTCTTGGGGGAATAGGCTCTTTAAATAGTTCTTTACTAGCTCTTACTGTAAGAGTATAATCTCACAGAGCCTCCTTTTACCTCCAAAATTGACTACATTTCAGTGGTGGGAGAAGCGTGCGACGTGGGTATGGTTTGAATTTATAAAGCCTTTTGGGATCCTTCAGGAGGAAAAGTGTTCTGCAAATGACTGATAAATCCTGGCTATTGCTGCAGTTACATTTTATTATTTGGCTTTTTTTTTAATTTATGGCAGGGCAACAATTTGTATACAAAACAACCCTTCTGATACACTTCAGGAAGAGAATAATAGCGGTGAAGGGTGAGGGGGTGCTGGGATCAGAGGTCTGGCTGCAAAGCAGTTTTACCAAGGGCTTTGATTGCATCCAAGATATTTTCTCTCTTTTTTAATGATGGTATTTTGAGGGAGCCTACAAGAAACATGGGGAGAGACTATTTGCAGGGGCCTGGAGTGACAGGACAAGTGGGAATGGCTTCAAACTGACAGAGTAGGTTTAAATTAGATATTAGGAAGAAATTCCTCCCTGTGAGGGTGGTGAGGCACAGGTTGCCCAGAGAAGCTGTGGATGCCCCACCCCTGCAAGTGTCCAAGGCCAGGTTGGATGGGGCTTGGAGCAACCTGGAATACTGGAAGGTGTCCCTGCCTGTGGCACGAGTGGAACAAGATGATCTTTAAGCTCCCTTCCAACCCAGACCATTCTATGAATCTGGGACTTCAAGCCCAGTTTTAATGTTTGCAGTGGCAGCAAGGAGGTTCTTTCCACAAAAACCTCACTTGACCTCTGTCAGACCTGACAGTGTCCCTTTAGGAGCACAGGGACAACATGGCTACCCCAAATCGTGGGCACCAGCACAGGGTCCTAACAAAAGCTCTCTGGGGGTGTGTCAGTGGAGGTCCTCAGGCAGGCAGGACCCACAGCTGCCCCTCCCGAGGGTCTGTGCACAGCTCGGTGTCCGGAGCAATCAGATGTGTGGTCGGGGAAGGGAATGTGCTGAGCAGTCAGCTGGGGCAGTGCAGATAAATGGCCCTGCACAGCAGCACTGCTGCTGGGAGTGTTTCCCTTCACCTCACCATAAACCCACTGCCTGTGCCGAGCAAACCAAGGCACTGCCTCCAAACAGAGCCCGTGGCTGCCGGATGGATCCGTTCCCGGGATGGATCCATTCCCAGGAGTGGAGTCTGGACAAAGGCAGCTGCTGGAGTGTGTAAATCCTGAAGCGGTGGAGGGCTGGGGAGCAGAGCATCACCCTCATCGCTGTCCTGTTTCACTGTCCTGGATCCCACCGGTGGGACCTGTGCAGCATCACCAGAAAACAAAATGCAGGGAGAAAGATGGGATGGAGTTTTCTGCCAACACTCTCAAAAACCCGACGCCATGTGAGGAGGCAGGAGCCTGTTCAGGGGTTTTTTCCCTCTTCCTCTACAGGGTAATTACTCCCAGCAAACTCCATACACTTTAATTAAAATGACTGCAACACAAGAGCAAGTCACTTACAACTGTACATACCGAGAGCTCTAAAAGCTTCAGTCACTGATAAGCATCTCCCTGAGATGGATCGTAATTGCTCCCAGCATCGGGTGATCATTGCTGTTGTTTTGCCACTAATTCCAGCAGGAAAGCCAAGATTGCAGGACACACTGAATTGCATAATTTTTTTCTCTTTTTTTTTTTTCTCTTTTTTTTTTGCTGGTTTTCTTTCTGGCCAATTTAAAATTTGTCAAAGTCGGTCTTCTTCTGGATCACTGCCCTTTGATATTTCGCGCACTCCATTTGCCACAAACAAGCCGCAGGGCCGCAGTTCATGCTGACTCCAGCAGAAGCAGAGAAAGCTCCATTTATCTTACACTGCCTGCTGAATTCTTACTCATTAGCTGGGGGTTCACTGCCTCTCTTTAACCCCTGAGTGGCTGTCATCCCTCCCGGAGCTGCTGGGGAGCAGGAGAAGGGAGATGCTCTCCAGTGGTGGCTCGGTCGGGAGACGCCGGGGTTGGACTTGGCAGTTGGGGAGTGGGAGAGCAGGGAAGGCTGGCAGATATTGAATAATTTGACATAAATCTGTTCATTATCAATTCTCCAGCACGATTGCTGAAATGTTTATTAGCCCCGTGGTTTATTAAAGTGTCACTCAGAGTTGGGCTCTTACAACCGGCACGGAGCAAAGGGCAGGGAGGGAGAGGATGGCCCTTATCCTGCCCCAGAGCACGTTCCCACCCGGGCTAGGTGTGCAAGGAGAGCAGGGAGCACCCAGAAATGCAGGAATGATGCAGACTGTGAGCCTGGGGACAGAGTTAAAAATACAGATATTCCATTTTATGTATTTATTACAATTAGACTACAGCATGTAGGAGTGGAATGGAAATCAGTGTCGTCACTCAGCTTCTGGGCAGGGTGGCAGAGGCACAGAGTAATGGGTGCAAAAACTGGATGGAATATGAATGAAAGGAATGGCAAAATGGCTGCAGGTGGAGCAAAGATTGGATATTGCGTTTCCATGTTTCCCCTACCAGGTATTTATCTCGTAGGAAAAGGGCAGCATCCCCTCACCTGACACGTGTTGCAACAGTGTGAACATCCTCCTTGGCTGATCCTGTGAAGTGTTGTCTGTGTGCTGGTGTGCATTTTTAATTCTATTTATTTAATTTATTTAAGTTCCTGTGCTGCTGGCTCCTGGCTTGGTTCACACTTTATTTGGCTAAAGAGCATCTAAAACTGTTCTTAAATTACCAAATTATGAATGAACACTCAGGCATTGAACCCTCAACACTTCAGCACAGCAGTTGCCCTCTGAAAATAAGGATCTTGGGGTGCAGGACCAGACCTGGCCCAACTGACCCACCTGGTGAGGGCTGTGCTGTGACTGGGGACATCCCTGACACAGCCTTGTTCCCTCAGTGACCAAAAGCTTCCATCCTGTGCCCTGTCTCATTCCAGGCTTTAGCTTGGGAGGTCAGATTGGAGTTCTGAAGTTTGGTAATTCTATTTTGGGGCTGTGTGTTTGCTTAGTGTTGTAATTACTCAAAATGCCCATTGTTCTCTTCAGCAAAAACCAAGAGAAATGCTGCTGTTGCAATTCCATCTCTCATGGAGTCTTGGGCAAACCCAGTCAGGTTGTAACTTTATTTTTTAGGCAATGCTGATTTCAGTAGCTGCTTCCACGTGCAAGTGCTGCTGCATTTAAATTGGTGTTAATTCACAATTCCGAGGCTCGAAGAGCAAGCACTGCTTTCTGTCAGCTCCTCCATGGCAGTTGGTGTCTGGGATATCCTCCCAGGAGGGCTGGAGATAGGAATTTTTCGGAATTACCTCCCTACCACCCTTCACCTGTTTGGATTTGAGACCTCAGGAGCAAAGAGGGGGAAAGGACAGGGGTGGGACATCCCACGGTGCCGCTGTACAAGGATATTTCAAGCCTGTGCCATGAGCATGTGTGACCTTCACTGGCTGTTCATGCTGCACCTTTATAACATAAATCCTGCTGAATATTTAGTGAAGCAATTACAAGCCATCTCATTTAAAGAAACAAGAGACAATCCAAAAATGCCTTTCTCTCCGGGGACGTGAGTGGCTCTGAGTGACCTTCCCTCTCCCCTCTGGAGAGGCTCCCTCCAGCTGGGCTGGGAGGGTGTTACCTGGGCAACTTTGCTGAATTTCATAGAATCCCAAACTGGTTTGGGTTGGAAGGGACCTTAAAGCCCATCCAGTTCCACCCCCTGCCATGGGCAGGGACACCTTCCACTATCCCAAGTTGCTCCAAACCCCGTCCAACCTGGCCTTGGACACTTCCAGGGATGGGGCAGCCACAGCTTCTCTGGGCAACCTGTGCCAGGGCCTCCCCACCCTCACAGGGAAGAAAAAATTTGGGTCTGGCAAGAGTTTTGTCAAAGGCAGAGGAAGAGAAGGTGAGATTCAGGTAAGAGGATCCTGAGGCACCAAGGACGGGTCACACCCGGTCTCTGTGGTGGCAGGATGGGTTTGCCCAGGTCTTTGAGTGCTTGTTTGAGGGAAAAGCAGGAAAATGGACAAGTGCTTGGCTATCCTGAGGGTGAGGGAGTAAACCCCACCTTGGAACAGCTTAGGAGCCATAAACAAGCACATGGACTCAGCAGCTCCCTGGCTCTGCAGTCAGAGGGAACCTTCCTTGAGGTCATTTTGTTTAACCTGTTAAACTGGCCATATTTAAAAGCCCCACTCTGCTCCTAAAGGTTGTGGGAAGCCCTGATCCCCCCTGGGGAGATGGCAGAGAGGGGACCATGGGGACAGGCAGGCACGAGCCACCAGCTTCCTCCAGGAAGCATTTGGGAATAAATACATCCTGTATGGATGCATCTAGGAGCATTTTAGGTTAAACATTTCCTATGTGTGGTTTTAAACCAGGCTTTGTTGGTTTAACTGGGTGTGCAGAGGGTTTTGGTGAGCTTTGGACTCTCCAAATCTTTCGGGTACCCCCCGCCGTTGCCGCTTCCCCGGGGCGTTTGTTCAACCTGTTTAAGGCAGTTTTGCTACTGAATGAAAAAGCAAAGACAGTTCTGCAGAACAAAGAGGTCTTGCTGTGTTCACCACCCCTGGTGGGCTTTGGAGGTGTTGAGAGCAGGATGAAGATGTTAAATGGCCTCCTCTGATCACTCTGGGGTGATCCTGGCACGATGCGTAGTGACGGCCGTGGAGGCTGCAGAGCAAACTGCAGCCCAGGATAAATGTGACACTTCATGGCACTTCCAGAGCTGCCTTGGAGAGTGTCCTGTGCTGCCTGCCAAGTTGGGAAGGTCACACATGTTCTTTCTTCCTTTAAATTGCTGTGGTGCCCCACCTGCATGCCATTCCCTCCTCTTGGAATGTGGCTGTCTCAGAGTGCTGCTTCTTTTGTTTCCCTATTGATTAGCAGCCAATCCATACCTAGAGGTCTATAATGTTCCTATGATTTAAACTTGAACAGTTTCATTAACTGTCAAGTACCTTTAGAGCAAAGGAATCCCATATTTTAACTCCCCTCTCCTTGCCAGGGTAAGATTTGTGGAAGGAGACTTCTTTTTTTTTTTTTTTTCTCCCTGAGAAATAAATAAATAAAGCCCCAGCTTTCTGAAAAACCCTGAGGCCTCAAGATCTGACTAGGAAAGAAAGAAAACCATTCCCAGATATTTAATTGTACAGGGGGCTTACGGGATTGATCGAGAGCTTAGCTTTTTACAATAGTCCAGTGAATAAGAAATGCTCCTGACAAACGATCGATGATGGGATAATCACTCTTTATCCCCCCTCCTCATTGTTACCTTCTTTCTTCCAGGAGAACAGGGTTCAGAAGTCAAAAATCTTTATAGACGCTGCTTTTAAATTAAGCAGAAAATAGACATTGACATATTTGTTAATCTCACCTAAATCATTACTGGGCCTGGCTGGGTGGACTCTGGGTGGCAGAGGCCGGAATTCACGAGCGGTGCTGCCTTAAGTGCATGTATTGCCATTAAAAGCAGGGAGCCTGGCAGTTTAACGTGGATAAATATAGATAATTTTTTATTCTGAAGGTTATAAGGGGAGCTTCTCTTAATTAAAACCTTCTTACTCGCATTCGAAAGGTTAGGTAACATTTATATTGGTAGGCACGTAAAAACATTCCTTCCCTGGAAAGGATCGTTGTCTGGATGGCCTGTGGCTTGGAAAAAAGAATATATATATATGTGTGTGTGAGCAAGAGACTGGAGTGCTCAGGCCACTGGAGTCTCATCCCTTTGGAGCAGCAGCCCTGGGTCATCGTGTCCGTTGGGGTGAGCCGTGGATGTGCACAGAAAGAGCAGGAGCACCGTGCAGATTCAGTGGGATGCTTCTCCCAGGATGCTGTCTCAGCTTCCAGGTGTGGTTTAGAGGCTTTCTTAGAACAGGTTAACATCTGATCTTCATGCTTAGAAGCCTGTGATGGACTTTCCTTGCGTGAATTTGCCTGATCACCTTCTGTGAGCCCGTTTGGGTGCGGTGACAGCGAGTTCTGCCGTTGGGTTTTGCGCTGTGTGAAGGTTTTCCCTCTTGGGGGGTTTTGTAAAGCTTCTACCCAGTGGTTTAATCTGTGCTTGTTGGGCTGGGATTGCTCTGGCTTCCTGCTGTGATGCCAGAGCCCCTGGAGTGGGCTCCAGCAGGAACCAGCCTAAAGGAGAACTTGAAATGTGGGGGTGGCTTTACACCATCCGTGTTCCTTGCTAAATGAACTGTGTGTTGGGACATTATTCTTTTTTAGGAGTAAGTCCCGTAAATGTCACTTAATTGATGGCTCAGATCGTTGGCATTTAAATGCAATAGAGTTTCCATGGTGAAAACACCCTCAAAGCTCTTGCCTGAATATCCGTGGCAGGAAATCCGGGCTGGAACTCCGAGATTTGACTCGGACTCTGCAGGGCACTGCTGGGAGTTCTGGGCTCTGTCCTGGACTGCCTGGAGCTGCACCCCTGCTCCCCCCAGGCTTCCCCAGGTGTCTGAGGTGTGGCTGTGGTTGCAGGTACCCCCGAGCTGAGCCCAGCTGACAGGAAGGAGCTGGAGGCCAAGCTGAAGGAGCGGGAGGAGTTCCTGCTGCCCATGTACCAGCAGGTGGCCGTGCAGTTCGCGGACCTGCACGACACGCCCGGGCGGATGCAGGAGAAAGGGGCCATCACTGTGAGTATCCAGAGCCTCCCTGGGGATGTGCTTGGAGGGTTTGGCACGTGGGAAGGGACGGTCTCCAGTGGTACCACAGACAACCCTCTGCCCCAGGACTGTTGCTGCCCTCTCCATGGTTTGCTGGCCCCAGGACATGGGGTGTCCCAGCACCTGAACCTGCTCCATGTGAGACCCCACATTTTCAGGGTTCACCAGCAGCTTGACCGTGGCCAGTGAGATTTTTCTAGTCCCTCCCCTTTGGGTGTGAGTGTCCCAGCTGAGGCCATGCTGCTCACTGGGGAAGCTCCATCTCTCTTTGCAGAAGGAAGGAGGTTTGTGGGAGGCAGAGGGGGCTGGAGGTGTTCAAGGCCAGGTTGGATGGGGCTTGGAGCAACTTGGTCTAGTGGAAGCCCCTCCAAGGCAGGGGGCTGGAAGGAGATGAGCTTTAAGGACCTTTAAGGAGCTTTCCAACCCAAAGCTTTCTGGGATTCAATGATTCTGTGTAGTTCCTGGTGACCAAATGGTGTGACAGGGTGGAAGTCCTCAAAGCTCAGACATGGGAATCTCCATATTTCTCTTGTTCTGGGGTATAACCACGTACAGGATGAGTCCAAGCCTGTTCTTGCCTTTGGGAATAAGGTGTATTTATCTCTCCATGTAGATACTGTCCCTCACTCATTTCCCCTTCTCCACTTGTGTCTTGGGCAGGATGTTCTGGACTGGAAAACTTCCCGTACCTTCTTCTACTGGAGGCTGAGGCGGCTGCTCCTGGAGGACGTCGTGAAACAGAAGATCCACGATGCCAACCCTGAGCTGACAGACGGGCAGATCCAGGCCATGCTGAGGCGCTGGTTTGTGGAGGTTGAAGGGACAGTGAAGGTATTTCTTTTACTTCATATTTTATATTATTTTATTTTACTCTGTTCTATTTTACTTTGTTCTATTTTATTTTATTTTACTTTGTTCTATTTTATTTTATTTGATTCTATTCTATTCTGGTTTATTTTGTTTTATTTTATTTTATCGTTTTAATTTTATTGTTTTAAAATTTTAATTTTTTTTTTTTAGTTTTAGTTTTTATTCTATTTTTATTTTATTCCGTTTTTAAAGTCCCAAACACTCAGGGGTTCCAGAGAAGGGGGGGGGAATGTTCTCTGGAGGGCAGCAGCCTTTCCAAGGTAGTGTCTGAGCGTCTCCAAAAGCGGGCAGCTCGTTAGCTAATACATTACACCAATCAAGGAGAGTTATCTTAAGCCACAATTAATCTGCTCCCTGGCATATGTTGATAGGGAAGCATCATGCTGTTTCTTAATTAAAAGCAAACGGATTAAAAATGATTAATAAGAGTATTAAATATTCTCCTAAACTAAAAGCTTTGGGATTCTTGGGTAAATGGAGCTTTACGCAGGTCTGCGACTGTATCGCAGCTTCCTGGGTTGGGGTTTTTTTTTCCCCCCTTCCCTGGAATCTTCCTTTGTATGCAGGGAATGTTGCTGCATGGCAGGGGCAGAGCCAGGGAGTGAAACCTGACGAGTTTAAAATAATAATAAGGAAAAACAATGAAATAAGCAAAATCTAGGAGTGACATCACTGGCTTGAGACAATCACGGCGTTCAGGAAAATAAAATAATCCTGGTTTTTATTGGAGCGTGTCCGGGGCTGGGATGGGCCCTGCACCTGGGGCAGGAAGAAATTCCTCCCTGTCGGGGTGAGGAAGCCCTGGCACAGGTTGCCCAGAGAAGCTGTGGCTGCCCCAGCCCTGGAAGTGTCCAAGGCCAGGTGGGAGCAACCTGGGCTAGTGGGAGGTGTCCCTGTCCATGGCGGGGGTGGGACTGGGTGGGCTGTAAGGCCCCTTCCAACCCAAAGCATTCCAGGACTCCTCATGGCTCTCACCTGTGGGTGTAACAACACCCTCAGCAGCACTGGGAAGGAGCTGATCCTGAGAGTCCCAGGGAAGAGGGACTCTGGACTTGGGAAATTATTAAATGAAGGATGGGCAGTGAGGAGGTGCTTGGATGATGCTGAGGGAGCTGGGGGGGCTCATCCTGCAGAAAAGGAGACTCAGGGGGGACCTTCTGGCTCTGCAACTCCCTGACAAGAGAGGGGAGCTGAGGGGGCTCGGGCTCTGCTCCCAGGGAACAAGGGGCAGGACGAGAGGAAATAACCTCAGGCTGTGCCAGGGGAGGTTTAAACTGGACATCAGAGAAAATTTCTTTACTGAAAGGGTGGTCAAGCATTGGAAGGGGCTGCTCAGGGAGGTGGTGGAGTCCCCACCCCGGGAGGGATTTAAAAGCCGTGTAGATGAGGCACTTGGGGAGGGGTCAGTGGTGGCCTTGGCAGTGCTGGGGGAACAGCTGGACTCGATGATCTTAGGGGCTTTTCCAACCTTAATGATTTTGTGATTCCATGATTCTGTGGCCCACTGGCACAGCAGTGGGTGCCAGGGGGCTCCGAGGGGGCTCCAGGGGGTGGCAGGAAGGTGCCACCACGGCATCACAGCACTCAGCTCATTGTCATTCTGACTTTGACTTGGTTAGTGATAACAGAGAAGGATAGTGCACCTTTAAATGAGGAGCTTTGTGTTTAATTACCCAAATAAAATGACATAAATATGAATGAGTGCTAATGGCAGTACTTGCTTTTCCGGAAACCATTAACAAAACGATTCTTAAATGATTTGTAAAGAAAATGAGAGGAGAGGAGAGCAGCGAGAAGGCTATTAGGGGCTCACACACTCCTGAATTATTGCATAGTCAACTATCTAGCAAATATCAGGTGAAATGATCTTGCAAAAGGCAAAGAGGGGGTTGTTGCTGAGGGTTCCAGACACCCCGACCTGCTCTGCTGTGCTCACACCTGCCCGAGGGGCTGTTCGGCCCCGGGGCTGGATCAGGGATCCTGTGATTGCTGGGGGACACCAACACTGGGTCACTCTGGAGGTGGTGGGGACTCGTGGGTCCCATGATGGTTTAGCACTGGGAGAAGCCCCAGATCAGCGGCATCTCAGGATTAGCTGTGTTCCACCTGAATTTGGGCAGCTGATCACGAGGGAAGCTGGGATTTATCTGGGACATCCATCCCCGGGAGTGATGCAGCTTGTTCGGCTGCTGCACTAGCCAAGGAACCACCTCCTGGGTTCCTTTCTGTCACGTTTATGGCAGGAGAGGTAAAAAAAAGTTTGGATTTTTGCTAATTGTTAGTTGTGTTTGTGGAAGCCCCAACCAGATGTGTCACCCCAGCTGCCAGTGGGCTACATCTGGGGATTGGTGTGTGGGCAGGGGTGGCCAGGGCTGGGAATGGGCTGACCCTGTGGGATTTTGGCAGGCATATCTGTGGGACAGCAACAAGGACCTGGTGGAGTGGCTGGAGAAGCAGCTGACGGAGGAGGAGGGCGTTCGCTCGGTCGTGGAGGAGAACATCAAATACATCTCGAGGGATTATGTCCTCAAGCAGATCCGGAGGTGAGGGCTGCCCTGGGAACTGGGACGTTAGAAATCACCTGGGAGGGGGAATGTGGGTGCCCTTGGCAAGTGCTGCTGGTGGGGTCGGGGCTCACTCCGGAGCTCCTGCCCTCCCATATCCCGGGTCCACACACTCCGGCCTCTCGGGATTCCAATCCCCACGTGTGTCTGAGCCCGTCTGCCACCAGCAAGGGAAGTGGCCGCGGGGAGCAGAGCTCGGCTCTCACAGCTCACCCAGTGCTGTGTCCAGTCTCCCACAGCCCCATATTTCAGCCCCCCTGGCCGGCCGGAGCCGTTGGATGCTCTGGAGGTGCCGGGGCTGCCGTCACTCACCTCCCTCCTCTCTCCAGCCTGGTCCAGGCCAATCCGGAGGTTGCCATGGATTCCATAGTGCACATGACCCAGCATATATCACCCACCCAGCGAGCCGAGGTCGTGCGGATCCTCTCCACAATGGACTCTCCTTCCTCGACGTAAGAGCATCGATTCCCCCGCGCTCCCCCTGCCCGGCGCCGCCGAGGAGAAAACCGGGAGCTCCCAACTGCCCTTTGTGTCTCGGCTGTGCCGCCACGGGGAGGCTCAGGGAAACGCTGCCAACAGGGACAGCTTTCTCTTTTCAGACCAGGCTGACCAGGGGAAGCGTGTCCCCTGGCCAGGGACATGAGGGAAATGTATAAACACAAGCGCCTGCGGAACTGAGTCCCGGCTGTGCTGCTGTACCTTATTTATTGAACGACTGGAGCGGCGTCCGGGCGCCGTCGGCTCCGCCGGGCGATGAAGGTGCTCCGGTACCGTGAGGCCTTGGCACGGCAGAGCAGGGGCTGTCGGGTGGCCCCCCGTGCCCCTGCCTGCCTTCCCCTCCCACCCCAGCTCCGCGCTGACAAGTGCCAATGTCACCCCTGTCACCCGGGCGGGCTCTGCCTCGGGAGCGGGTGGGAGCCCCCCCCGGCAGCCTCTCGGCCCTGTCAGGGGTGATTTGTGTGTCACACGTCTGTCTTGTTTCTTCAGTAGCAGAAAACCAGCCTTCAGCCGCTGTGGCCAGGGCTGTCCCTGTGCCCCCAGGAGGCTCCCGGGCTTCCCAGGGCTGCGAAGGTGGCGGGGCAGGATTTTGGGCGCTGACCCTCCGCTCGCTTTGCCTTTGTGCCCAATTCCTTTAGAACAGGTCAGTGAACTGTGAGGGGCCCTTCTGGGAGGAGGTAAAAGAAGAGACCAAAGTGCAGCTGCTCAGCGTTTTTGCTTTCCCTTCCCCGCTTGTTTTGATGGATAACAATGTGGCAGCCCCACTGTGGGGACACTGGCTGTAAGTGCTCGTCCCTTTCCTATCAATAGCAGGAGGCTGATCCAGCCAGCTGGGGTGAGAGGGGAGAAAGGACAGAGCCAAATATTCCAGTGGAGTTAGAACTGCAGAAGTATCCAAGGAGCTTTTCTTCATCTCCCCCCTCTGCTCTGGAGCTGGAACGGAGCTGCCTGTGCTGGGCTGGTCCTGGTGCAGGCTGGGGAGGGGAAGAAGGGACTGTCACTCACCTGGGAAGGTGGAAATGTAAAACCAGCTGGGTTGGATAATCTCAGTCCAGTGGTCAGGAATAAGTGTCTGGGAGGCAGGTAAGTGCAGTGCTGGGGTGGCAGCAGCCCAGGGCCCCCCAGGCTGACCCAGCCAAGGCCTCCCAGCTTCTTCCTACACTTTTTTTATGTCCACGGGCCTCCTGAGTGTAAGAAAAGTTGCCTGTTACAGAACTCGGTCTGGGCAGGACCAGGCTCATGCCAGTGATGGTCTGGGAAGAATTTCAGATTTTGCAGTCCCTCCTCTAGTACAGCAGGAATCAGAAGGGCTGTTTTTATGAGAGAATTAATCAATGATGCTGCCAGTGCCTCTCACCTCTCCTTGTTTCCTTCTGAAGTGCAATGCAGCCCTTCTGCCTTTGGGGCCAGTGACTGGAGGTGCCACAGGGGGGTCACAGCTCCCCTGCCCGTGGCCAGCGGAGCTCACCCACCTGAAGGACTCGCTTTTTCTTAATAGTTAAGAACCCTAATTTGATTTAAAAGACTTTTATTTTCCACTAGAGCCCCCTGAACAAGCCCCAAAGATGCTTTTGCTTATGCCAAGCTGGGCTGCAGCAGGACACACGGACAGAGAATGTCTCAGCCAGGCAGGACCACTCAGAGGGTGACTCATGGGGCTCCTCCTCCCTGTCACCAGGAATTCCTACTGGTGGTGTCACCAGTCAGTCCCTTATCCAGGACACCTGCAGGTGTCAGGGGAAGTGTCCCAGTGCCCACTGCCCCGATCCCTTTGGAGCTGCTCTGCCAAGGCCTGTGCAGAGCAGCCCCCCTGTTTCAGTGTTCCAGCACTGGCTCAGGCTCCACTAAATTTGGGGGTAAAGCAGCTCCAAAAAACCAGCTGTTGGGTAACATCAGTGCTGGGCTGACATCAGGGTCTGTCACCAGCCCTGGGGGTCCTGGGGGGGTCTGGACCTGCCAGAGCACCATCACCTGTGCTGTCCCCAGGTCACCTGTGCTGTCCCCAGGTGTGTGGGTCGGTCACCGGGTGGGGAGACCCCCCCTTGGTCCATATGGTTCTCGCTGGTGCTGAAGTATTTCACTTACCTCAATTTCTTTTAATAAAAAAGAATGAATTACAGCTCTGTTGCCAGGAGTGGAATCTGTCACCCCCTGTCCTGGGCACCCTGGGGAAGCTCTGCTTTCCTTGGGGCAAGAACAGGGGAAATGTTTATGGGGAGGGTTTATGTGGAACCCCTCAAGGTCTGGTGGGAGGATGGAGCAGAAGCACCTCGGGGGCTTGGCCGTGCCCTTCACCTGAGCCCTTGGGCAGGTCCTGTTCCTCCTCCATGATTTACTGTCACCTTTAACATCACAGTGACTGAGACAAACAGGGAAAAACTGAGCCCTGGCAGCTGCTGCTGAGGTGGTGGGAGAACTACAGGGACCCTCTCCCAGGGACAGTTGGACTTGAAGATCTTAAAGATCTTTTCCAACCTCAGTCATTCTGTGACCTGCTCAGCAGGAGCCCATGGGAAAAGACTCACAGGACCCTTGGCTGAAGGGTGTCCACTGGGAACCTGCTCAACAAACACCTTTTGGGAGGTCCCCACACTAAAGGTGAGATGTTAAATTTGCCCACATGAGTGAACACAACTCCAGCAGTTCGTTTTTCATGCATTTCTCAAACCAGAATCCTGATAGTTAAATAGGGGGTGGTGAGGGGACAGACCCTGCTGAACTCCAGAATCACATTTAAAACTCTTTAGCCTAAAATATCTACATATTAAAATGCCAAGGAAAGACGTACCAGAGCTGTAAGCTCTCCAAAGCCCAAGATCAAAGTGCCATCATCTTTTAATGTAAACCTTTTGTTGCATCAACAGTCTTAAGAGGGATGAGAGACATCAAAATAAAAACTGAGACAAACTGGGGCTTTGTAGCTGTTTTTTGTTTTAGTCTCTTCTCTCAATTTGGGCCATGAAATAGGTCAGCTCCATTACTGATCAGCCTTCCCACAAATATTTAAAACAAATTGAATTGCACACCCAATACCCATCACAATTACGCCAGGCACAATAACTAAATTAGCAATTCAACAAAATAATTGGAAATGCGATTCTCTCCATTCCAGAGCCTCCCCCGGGGCTTTGGCCGATCTATGGGGGGAAAACTCTGCTTTACTAATTCTGCAGCTAATTAGAGACACACTTGTAAATGAAGTTGTTTGTCTGAAAGTTGAAATTCTTCGCCGTGGCGGGGTTGGGGGGAGAGGATTAACACAACCCTCTGTCCCTCCCTCCGCACACCCCGGGCCCCAAAACGCCTCCGAGTTTGCGCCGTGTTCGGCTGAGGTGTGGTGCCCGTTCGTGGAGGCACTAATTAGCAGCTGTATCATGAATTAATAAAGAATTAATATTCTTTTTTTTTTTTTTGGGGGGGGGGATATCTCGCTGTTAATTGGCAGCATTAGGAAAACCTGGTAGAAGTCATCCTGGTTATCTGTGTCTGTATGAACAGCTCCGAGAGCTCTGACCGGGCCGTGTCGGACACTCCGGAGCTTCCAGGAACTGGGGGAGCTGAGCCAGACTGGGGATACTGGTAATGCAGAGTCCACCCTCCTCCTGTGTCCATGCACCCCCTGGAGAGACCGTCCTGCTGTCCCCAGGCCCTGGGAGGAGCCACCGCTGGCCACAGGCAAGTCCCTGGCTCTGATGGGTGGTTCCTCAGGGATTACACAAGGCTGCACTTTTTCCTGCAGCATATTCAAATCCAGGCACGGGCCCTGTTTTCCTGCCAGGAATCAAGGGCTGCCCTCAGCAGCAAGGTCAGAGCTGGGATGGGGCCTCATCCACCAGCCCAGGTTCTCCCCATGTCACCACGACCCAGGTGCTGGTGGGGGGACGGGGGGAACAGGCTGCTTAAACACTGATAAGTGAATTCAAAAGCGTGCTTAGTGGGGCTTGGGCTCTTATCTCCTCAAACAATACCGACGAGAAGTTATCACATTTAAAGTGGTTCATATTACCCTTTTAACATTACAGCCAGACTGAAAATAGAAAAAAACCCCACGGAGTGCCCTGGTGCTACAGCTGTAGAGGACACAGGAGTCAAACGGGAAGGGGGTGGCACAGCTGGAGCCACAAAGAGCCCAGAGAAACAAACCCTGAGCGGGGCAGGGACAGGGGGCTTCCTGCTAAACCCCCTTAATTTGGGCACTGACAGCACGAGCAGCCCGATGCCATCCCGCTGACACGCTGGAAGCAGCCGATTTCCTCCCCTCGATGCCTCTCAGAGCTGTGGTTATCAAAGCCTGAGATTTTAATCATGTTGAGGAGCACAGGGCTCTGCTGCTGCTCAGGTCAGTGCAGGGACAGGTCATGGGGTCGGAGGTGCTGGGATGGCTCGGGGTCACACGGGACCTGTTGTTGGGGAGCTGGAATTGAGAGGGAGTGGATGGAGGGGACAGGACGTGACATTGCCAGGATTTCCCCTGGGAGATGGTCACACCCAGAGACCCCACAGCTGGGGAGGCCCCTCTGTGCTGGAGCAGCCCAGTGACAGCCCGCACTGAACTCACCAGTGAACATGGGGCTGCTCCCCTGATACAGGGGACTGGAAAATCAGCCCTTCCCTGTGCCCAGGACCCTTTGGCCCTTCTCCCCACAGCCCTGGGCGGTGCTTTGCCTGTGATGGGCATCACTGTGGGGCTCTGCTGTAGGTGAGGTCAGCAGTGGGATCCCAAATCCCGGTGAGGAGCCAGCGGTGACATTTCGTGTGTTCCCACCTGGACTGGAGCTGGGAGGGGCAGGGAGATGGATGCACTTCCCTGGAGCTGCAGCTCTGCTCTGCTGTGAGAGAGCAGAGAGATTTATTCATCCATGAGACACCCAAAGTCAATACTCACCTTGGCACTTGCTTTCTGGAGCCCAGGAAAACCAGACATGTTTCCACAGGGCAGAGGGGGAGCTGAGCCTGGTACCAGGGAGGAACTGGGAAAGGAGAAGCTTTTTTTGTCCTGTTTTTAACCCAGGATTTCACACAAGCTGCAGCTGAGCTGGTCTCCCTTGCTGTGGTGGACTCTGTGCTCCACATCTCACTGAGGTGTTGGGAAGACGTTTATTGGGAGCAGGTGACTAAAGGGAGACTAAATCTGTAATGATGAGGTGCAAAAAGGATTAATTAATATCAGCTGCAGACAGCTCTGGGGACACAGTGAAGTGCAAAAATTTGGCTACAGAGAGGCTGCTAAGGGAAAAGAGGGATAAAACTGTGGAGCAACACATCCAAGCAGAGGCAGGACTGGGGGGAGCAGCACAGCAGGAGGTGAGGGAAAGGGGGGAATCACTGCAAGGAGATGCAAAATGGGATCACCTGCTGCTCCACCCTGGGCCTCACCCTCAGGGGCAGCACAGAGCACAGAGGGGGCTTCCCCTCCCTGCCATCTAACCTGTTACAGCCTTAAAAACTGATGTATTTTTATTCAAGCTTAATAAGAAAAAAGAATAAAAAAGTAAAATTCAGTCACCCATTGCAAAACTGGTAAAAAACTTGTAACTTATGCAGGGAAAAGCCCCCAAATCCCTTGGCTTTTTCAAGGTCAGGAATGGGGCAACTGGCTTCTTCACCCCATCTCTGTGAAAGGGGACACCAGAGTGGAACCCTGGAACAGCCAGCGGGGCTGTTCCTGCACAGATCACACCGGGACAACCAGTTTACAAATCATTTTAATGACATCACCCAAAATACCACCCAGGGACAGGGCAGCTCTGTGGGACAAGCCATGCCTGCTACACACATGTTATTCACAGGAGATAACCTCAGTTTGGGACTGATCACAGCAGAATCCCAAATTCTCCCCACAGGATCTGATATCCCGCTTCTGACCTTTGGGTACAAAACCCCACAAACCCCTCAGGTGAGTCATCTCTGCCCAGTTTCACATTGTGCTGACACCCTTCAGCGGGGTGTCATGGCCATGGTGAAGACACAAAGGCTCAGAGTCACGACCAGCTGAAAGAACTGAGTGTTCAGGATCACTGCAGGGCTGGAAAATTCCCCAGGAGGTTCCTACGGCAGCAATATCCCAACATACCCCGTGGTGTGGTCAGCAAATGTCCCTGTGGTCATTCAACAGCTGGAATGTGAACTGGGAGCTCCCAGCACAGGAGAGCACCCTTGCTCTGTTTTAAGGCCATGTTAATTATGTAAATGACATTTAAATCCTCTTGGTGAAAAATAAAGTCCCTCGTTCCCGATCGTGGCCAACGACCAGAACAGGACATTTAAATCCCCCCCAACTCCCAAATCAAAACCTCTGAGGGTTTAACACAACTGTGGGGGACCCACATGGGGGGGCTGGTGGTCCCTGCTGGGCTGGATTGTGTCCCTTCCCCCCAGCATTGTGCCCAGATTGCAAAAATCAAGGTCAGGAATTTAAAGGGAACAGTTAAAAATGGGTTGTGTGTGGGAGGAAGCACTGAAGCTGGAAAGGGGGGATGCTCAGCCAGGCTCAGTGTCCCCACTCATCCCTCTGATTTAGGTTTGATGTTCCTTCAGGCAGGATTTTAGGGACAGACCAGAGGCTGGGGAGACCTTGCCCTGCTCCTGGGCAGCCTCAGGGAGCCAAGGAGACGTCGGGAGCCGGGGCCTGATCCTAATTCTGCTCCAGCTCTTCACCATTCGTGATTTTTCCAAACAGGGAACGATAAAGCTCCGTCCTGGGGATAAAAAAAAAAAAAAAGGAAGGTGGGAGAGGGAAAAGTTACTTTTCAAGGTCAAAACGGTTAAAAGAGGCTGCCACTCCAAATGAAAAGGCCTCGTGTAATTAAAAACGCATTCAACAACCTTCATTAATAAATACAGAGTGGGGGGGAAACTCTTGTGAGACCAATCCCAGGCAGCACAGAAATATGTAAATATCTCAGCGTGGCTGGATCTCGTATCTCCAGAGAATGAGGGCTTCTATAAGTTTGCCCTTTCCAGACAGGCTCTTCAAGTAAGAAAACAAGATTGAATATTTTAATAGGATGTACGAGGCCACGGAGCCGTAAGGAGGATTCAATCACAGCCTACGTGGGACTGTAATTTAGTTTTCATACATTTTCTTGGACAGCACTTGAAAAACAATGAAAATGACCCAGCAACAAGATTCCAATTAATATCCCACGTGCAGCAATTCTGATAACAGGAGAAAATTTCCCTTTAAAAAAAGAAAAAAAAAAAGTGGGGCTGGTGTTAACTTTAATTTTAGAACCAGAGTAACCTGAGCTGGGGGAGAGGTATTTCTGCCTTATTTTGTATAAATGCATTTTCTGAAGCAGCAGCCTTTTGTCAGGGGCTGCACACACAGAACAGGGTGTTGATTACATGGGGGGGGTGGGATTTTCCCTTCCAAGAACAGTAACAACCCCAGGGCTGTGAGTGAGAACCAAGTGATCCCATTGCCTCAAACCACCCTAAAGGCATTCTGGAAAACCCAAAGGGGATTTTCTCCAGAACAGGCTCCCCTCTCCAGGTCTCCAGGCCCTTCTCCTTTACACGTTCACTCATTTCTTACATCCCCAGCAATGTGAGAAAGCTCAAACACAACGTGTGCACACTGGGAGACCCCCAAAAAACCCACCAAAGACAGCAAGAGCTGCTGTGTTTGCAGGCAAAACCCCAGAGTGCTGCTCCTTTACAGCCTGCCTTGGCCTTTCCCACTGCAGGAGAACCCAAGGAGGAGAATTCCTCAGGTTTCTGTCCTCATTTTGGTGGGTTTGACACTGTCCTGTGGGTACAGGAGTTCAGGGACTGATGCTGAATTTGCTCCAATCCCACAGATTTTAAACAAACAGCCATTTTTCAGGCAAGCAGGGCCCGGGAAGATCTCAGGTGAGGATTTGTCTCTGCTGGCAGAGGAGTGTTTGCCAGCACAGACTGGTTGTGACGTGGACACTCCAGGTTTTGGGGGGCACAGGGGGCTCCCCTGCACCCCACAGCCTCATCCTCCCAGGCACAGCAACCTCTGATGAAGCAGAAATCCAAGTGGAGCTGTTTGGATAACACATCATGGACAGACACCCCAGCAGAGTGACAGGAGGAGGAGGGAAATCAGGTAACCCCCAAACCACCCCCAAAACAGAACAAACATTTCACCCTGAAAAAATAAAATAATAAAACAACCCAACCTTTTTTTTTTCCCCCCTCTCTTCTCATCATCCAGGCTCCCTTTCTTTTACAGCCTCTCCCCTCAGCAGGATTTAACCATGCAGAGAGTAAAACTCATCAATCCTCCAGGTTTAACCTTGTCTCTGTTTCAATTCACCAGGGTAAGTGCAGATTTTAATACTTTCAGCCCCCTTAAGGCTATGCATAATGAACTTGGATTTTTGGTTAAAAAAATATAAAATTTCTCTCCTCCATCCACAGATATGAAACATCAGACTTGAGCCACTGAGTTGTAACAACCCCACTGCAAGTGTGTCACCTGCAGCTGGAGGAAAGGTGACTTTAGCACAAAGAGGGTCTGGAGGCAGCATGTGCTGAGGAATAACCTGTGCAGGTAATTAAGAGTACTCACACCTCAGGTGGGGAGTGTGGAAGAAGCAGGTCGATACAGGGGTCTTCCTTGAATTAAAATTTAACTTACCCTTTATTGCAACCTACAAAAGCAAGTAATGAGCACTAACATTTTTATTTCTTTTAAACTGTCATTTAGGCTGTAGAGGGGATAATTACCTATTTCCACTGTAGTAAGGTTTTATCACCCTTAGTGAGGCATTTTCTAATTTAATATTTTTACTGTATTATCATAAAACCTGTTTCTGGAAAAAAATGATCACGGACCACGGAGCCATTTGCCATAAAACATGTGTGTGTAAGTACCTTGGCTTAATTATTTATGCATTTCTTCTGAGCTGGCTCCAGAGCCAGGGGACAGCACAGGCACCGTGTCACCTCCCCACCACGAAAACTGGGCTTTTCAGGTCAACAATATTGTTTTAAAATATGAAATAAAAGGAGCAGCTACTCCAGGTGGTGAGCCTGTTGTGCTAAATGCCCACTGGGCTTTTCTCCCCCTCCAAACCCCAGGTATTGCTGCTACACACATTTTATAGGCAAAATCCTTGCAACAGAGACCAAGGAAACACACACACACACAGAGTGAATATTAATTGCAACAGCACATTTCATAAATCTATATGAATCTTCAAAATTCTAAACAGATCCCCAGGAAGGTGCTTTGCCCACCAAATGTACAAAGGGAAACCAAATGTGTACCTGCACGTGGGAAAAGCAAGTATTGTACCACTCTGTGTAATTATAGTCATTTTTCTAAATACAGTTCTGTGAACTAATAGAAGAACAATATTATGGGGGAAAATTCAGTTTCTGGTGGCTTTATTTTTTTTTTTTATTAAAATGGCAATAGTGCTCTTCTAGTAAAAATACCCTCCAACCAATGTCTCTGCCTTCTCCCTTGTACCTTTTACTTCTTCTCTTCCTCTACCCCAAAAAAAAAAGATAATTTAGAAAATGCCACAAGCAGTACTGAAATGACTACATAACCCTACTCCTCCCCTGGGAACTATGAATTCTTAATTCACAAAAACTGGAAAAAGACAGAACATGAACACCCATGAAGAAAGGGAGCACGAAAGAACGGAAAACACACGACTCCTGATGAAAACTGAAGTTGGCAGATTGTTTCCTTGGAAAACTTTCTGTCTGTACCCTAAGAAATGTTTTGTCCAGTGGTGTGAAATTCAGGTTACTCAGTGTCCAGCAAGCTGGGCAGGTATCAGGAAGATAAAATAAAGCTGAAGCTTTTTTTTTCTTAATGATTTTTTTTAAAATGATTTTTCGTAAAAATGATTTTTTTTTCTTAAAAAATGGAATAAAAGGAGTGGCTCCTCCAGGTGAGCTTGGTGTGCTAAATGCTCAGTGGATTTTACCCCCCTCCAAATCCCAGGTATTGCTGCTATACACACTCTATAGGCAACAGGAAAGAGACCAGGAAGATAAAACAAGCTGAGACCATTTATTTTTTTAATTTCTAGAGAAAGGCTAAAGCAGCCTTAATTTCCAGCCAAACCCCAAACCAGCTGGGTGTGGGGTTTGGCTCTGTATTCCCACCCCTTCCAGCCCGCACTCCCCACTCCGGCTCTGCGGGGACAAGCCCTCGGGGTGCTGGGTGACGTGGGGATCCCAAAAGCAGGACTCAGCCCCCCTGGAGTGGCACAGGGAGGGCCCCGGGGCTCTGTGTCCAGCCCCACGAGATGGCACTCACTCCCTTCCCAAGCCCCGAGTGCTCAGCTCTGGCTGCATCTCCCAGCCCGGCGCCCTGCCCGCATTCCAGGGGGGCTCACAAAGGTCTCCTGCAATTCCCTCCAGCCCAGGAGGGTCAGGATCGGCCCCCCCCCCTTCCCCGGAGCCTGTGCAAATGCTTTTAGCCCCACGGCTTTGAATTATGGAAGGTGACATGTGACCTCTGGCTCGTCTCCTGAGAGCAGGCACAGGATTTATAAATGTTTCAGAAAGCTGGTTCTTGCCCTAAACAAAGGGACTCTGCACGTTTTGAGAGGCTGGATCTGGGAATGGGGAGTGGGAGGGCAGCAGAGAGATGGAGAGCTGGTGCCCAAGGTACCATTCCCCAAACACAACCAGACCTGGGGTTCATCCCTGCTGTCCCTGCCACCAATTCTGAACGTTCCCCTCACCCCAGCTCTGAGCTCAGGATACCACTGATGGAGCAGAGATGGACCCTCTCTCATCCTGACTTCGGTCCCAGTTGCATTTTCGTAGGAGCTTTTACAGCACAAAGCATAAAAGATGTGGGCAAATTGTCTGGAGAGGCAGCAAAACACAGGGATGTGCAGGCAACTCCAGCTTGCTCCTCTGGTATGTGTTCCAGCAGCTGGAATTTCCCCAGGAATTACATCAGATGTCAGTTTTTGGATGGGTATTTGAGCAGAGCAGCCTCTGATGCTGCATGGGAAATGCCCTGTGCAGGAGAGCAGGAGGGGACCATTCTTTGTGCCCCTTAACGCCCCATATTCCTGGGATGATTTCCCTCTTTCACAGCTTGCCTGTTTTATAACAGATTTGATGCAGGAGAAGACAAATTGTCTCACAAAGGAAAGACGACAAATCATCTCGCAGCCCTTTAACAGGTTATTTTTTTTTCCCCCTTTAAAAAGGAAATTTCCATACCAGAGGCACCTCTCTCCTTACAGGGATGTCAGAAATCAAGTGCTGGGACAGGATGATTCCAGCCCATCCACACTGGGTCACCACTTCACCCTGCCAGCTGAAAACACACAACCTGTGCAAACACCAGCCCTTCTGACACCCTGGTTAAAGTGGAGAGTTAAACTGCACCTCCAAGAGCTGATGGTGAAGGCCAAGTCAAAGGTTGGGGGGATTTTAAATAAAACAAACAAAATGAGACACAAAGGGCAGAAATTTCAAGGCCGGGTTGGATGGAGCTCTGGGCAAGCTGGGCTAGTGGAAGGTGTCCCTGCCCACGGCAGGAGGGGGAATGACATGAGCTTTAAGGTCCCTTCCAACCCAAACCATTCTGGGATTCTGTGATCCCAAAGTCACAATGCCTCTGGATGAGGCCAAGCAGGTTTAGTTTTATAGGAACAACACATGTTCTTGCTTCTGCTTCATGCTCTCCTCCAGCCCAGGTGTGCAGCAGGTTACACAGCACCCTCCCAAGAGAGCCCACGTCTCCCCTGAGGGGGTTCTTTCAGCAGCCCCAGAGCCCAGGCAGGAAACTCCCCCTCCCACCCACAGCCTCGTGCCACAAACACCCCAAATTCCCTAAAACATCAGAGCCCTGCACACTCCGAGATTGCCCTCCACGTTCATACTCTCTCCCTTTGTTTCCCGAAACAAAGCCAAAGCAGGACAGTCCTTCTTCCAGGCAGTGCCTGAATAAACTCAGAATCACTTTTCTCACACCAACACCGAGGTTTGTGCCGTGCAGCACAGAAGCCACTGGTTTAGTTGTTCCAGAAAGAAGGGCTTTGCTTCCTCTCAGGAATTCTGTGGGGGTGAAGGTACTGGATTGACAATCGCAGAGCCCAAATTCTTCCATTAATCCCCTCTCATGGTGTTTTAATACCCAAAGTACAAAGTGAGCGAAGTTAAAGGCTGGTATCTCACCAACCTTTTTTTTTTAAAATTTTTTTTTTATTAAACTCTTATGTCATATAAGCAAATTAATCTTTTAATACCAGGATTTCCTACTACGTACCCCCCTCTGCTTGCAGAGACACACTGTGACAAAGCAACCGCACTGAAGTGAGAATGCTGATCAGGAAAATACACAACGTCCTGGCTGGATCCAAGGGAAATGCTCTAATCCAAGCCCCTCTGGCAGCTGGATAATCTGTGAGTTAATTCAGCCTCCCAGCAGGCTCATGCAAGAGCAAGAGTGGGCTGGATGCTCTTGTGCCACACTTGACCTGAGGCCAATGGGACTGTGGAGGTAGGGGATTCATTTCTTGCACTTGGCCATGGGATTTCGAGAAGTGAGTCCTGCCCTGAGCCCAGTTCTGCTGCATTAAGTCTGCACTTCCAAAGTCAAACACAAAACTGTGACCATCTGCTAAAGAAAAAAAAACCCTGTGTCGGGGAAATGCAGCCCTACAAAGCTGGGCAGGACACAGGAGCTGGAAGGAGGGAGCCAGGACACAGAGGTGCAGATACCAGGGATTCCTACAAACCAGGGACAAAAAGGTCACTTCCACCACAGGCCAACAGGTGATCTGGCTGAGCTCACCCCACAAGGTGTATGAGCAGTGCTGCCCGAAGGCAGGGACAGGTTCTCTAACTGGGGGCAAACACAGCATGGAAAGGTCTCAGAAGAGCAGGAAAAAACTTCCCCAGCTCCCCCACTGTGGTGACACTGCTTGGTTTGACACAGTCCCATCAGGGCCATCTTCTTCCCTCTAATTTGGCTCATAAAGGATGCAAATTCCTCCTCCCTAACGAAGATCCATTTGCAGAGGTACAAACAAACCCGACACGTCCTCCCCACCTTCCCCCAGTTACAAATCCCCGCTCGGAATCTCGGCGTGCACTTGGGAACACGTCTCCTTTGTCCTGCCTGACTTTCCTGCAGAAAAGGCTCCTTTTGCCTCCCGTTCTGCACTGGGTGCCATGTTTAATGATGATGTATGGGTGTCCTTTTCCTCGGCGGTGCTGTGGGGAGGGGGTCAAACATGTGACACCGCCAGCATGTGTATCAACAGCAAATTATAAACCGTGTCAATCCAAGTTAATGCAAAGCTGTAATCCTCTTTAACAAGAGATCAAATCAGTGCCATGAGTTATGTTCATTCTGTAATCTGATAAGAAATAGAGTGAGCCTCTAATAAAAGAGTAATGAGAGCCCTTAATGATGCTGTTAAAAGGTAGCGCCAGTTAAAATATTGCTGTTGTTCCAGCTGATTAGATCATTGTTGCATATTTGCACAATCTTGTTTTACCTGTCAGAATAACCTGAGTCATCTTGGGAGATAAAGGTGTTCGTACCAAACATCTGTGTCCTTTAAGGATGTCTCTCCTGCGAGTCACCGTCCTCCAGAGGTGAAATTCAGATGTTCATCAAACTCCGCAGTAATTTGATATTACACCTTGTTTTACAGTGTCTCTGTTTAGTCTCTGTTCCTCACACACACGGACAGTGCAGAGATCTGAAGATCTGTATATCACAGCTGACAGGCAGAGAGAATAAAACCCAAATCCACACAGCTCCTCCCAGGAACAGGGGCTTTACCTGACCTTGCCACAACAAGGCTGTGCATTGGACCCACTCCTGCACATACTGAAAACACCTCACTTGGAACAGACTTGGAGGCCCCAGCAGGAATGCTGAGCCTCAGCTCGCCCATAAATACACCTACCTGGCACAGGAGTTTTCTCAAGTGCACAAATGTCTGAGCTCCTAAAACATGAGACTGTTTGGAGCTGGGCCAGCTGAAGGTGGCTGCACAGGTCTGGGTTCAACCTCAGCTCTATCCCAGACCTTCTGTGTCCCCTTTGGCCATTCCCTACGGCTCTTTCCTCAAGGATTTCTGGACCCAAAAGCCTTTGGAGATACAGGCTATCATCTCTGTGTGCCTCATTCCCCAAGGTGTAAACCAGAGGAGACTGGCCTGTTCCCAGCTCTGCTGCACATGGGGCCACTGAAGGATGTGAAGCTCCCCAGGTCATGGCGATGGGAAAAACCTATTTCAAGGCAAGTCCAAGAAGTGGCACCTACATGATACCACCCTCAAACCCAGGAGAAATCACAGCCAACCCTGTTCTAACCCTGAGCAATTCTTGCCCAAGGCAGCTCCCCTCTCCTCTGGACAACCACCAGAGGTTTGCCTTCGGGTCCCTTGTCTTAGGTCAGGCCATTTACATAGCAATGACCTTGGACCGATTAGAAAAACCTTGGCCCAAGAGGACAATAAATGTGTTAAAGTCTATAAACATGTATCCCAAGATAACCATAAAAATCACTTTCCAATGTATGTTTTAAAATACTACCAAAGAGGGGTTAAAACAGAGGAGGGCTGGAGGCCACCAGTGTCCCACACATTACACCATAATATATGTGAGCACAGGGTCAAACAGCCATGCCCATACATAGGGTGCATGGAAAACTGGCAAGGGGAAGATTAATTGCTTCCACCAGTGCTATTATTCCAACCAGCAGCAAGAACAAGAAAGAAAGTGGCAGTGATGTTGACAAAGGCAGTTATTTGACTTGCACGTTCCTCTTCTCGAACTCGGGCTGTAAAACAATCCTGGAGTGATTGTTTATCCCCTTCTCTTCCCAGTGCTCAGGCTGCTCCTCCTCACAGGCATTTCTTTGAAGTCCTGGGCATCCCACAGCCACCAGCACACAGGGAAATCCTCCACTCCAGGAGAGCCAGCAGTTCACTGCACTGTTTTAAGGTCTCTCTGCACAGCCAAAGCAGTGTAAAACAGTTCAAATGCACAGGAGAATCAGGCCACTGGTAGGACCTAAGGGGAATGTTCTGCCAGCTCTATTTCTACATCCATTTTACACACAGCTCACTGACACTGTGGAATTCCTCCCACTACCACGCAGAGCACCCCATTGTTCAAAGGTGTTTATTTTGGGGTCGTGCCTTTTAAGTGCCTGACCAGAAAAAAAAAAAACCCTAAGTGGTTCAGAGCACAGTCATGTCTCTGTGAAGTGTATACTTGCATTTTCAATCCAGTAATTTGCACTTGCAAACAATAAAATTACCTTCTTCTGTCACAAAGGAAAGCTGTTATCATTGTTGCTTCCCTCTCAAGTGTACAGGTCTGGTCTTTCCTTTTTGATTCACCTGCAGATGCTGAATTCTTCTTGCTTTGTCTGGTACAGTTGGGTGCTGCTACAGAGGTCTTTATGGCTGGTGCAAGGGTATTTTAAACAGAGCTGTAAAGTGACCCCTAGAGAGTGGCTCTGATGTTCAGAAACACAAGTGACAGCAGCAGATACCTTCACTATGGGAGAGCTGAACCAAAACACCTACTGAGGCCTGATTTTCAGGCTCTGACCATATTTTGAATATGTTTTATGTCTGGATGCAAACACAAATGGTGTAAACCGGGGAGGAAGCTGATAAGTAACACCCAGGTTTTCACAAGGGTTCCCACCCAAATGTGCAAGGGCTGCTGCAATGAGGAAGCACAAATTTGTTCTCAAAGCCCACATGGAACAGGACAAGAAATAACAGGCCTAAATTACAGCAGCGGGAAATTTAAGCTTAACATTAGGACTAAAGCTGCAGAGAACTGCTAAAGGAAGACTGTGATGCCTGTGATAGGCATGTTCTTTGTGCTGCAGGTAACCAGCAGGCATTTTGGCAACAGCGAGAAAAGCTCAGGTTTCTATTTTCGTGTCTGAAACAAAAGCTTTCCTGTGTTCGTCGAAAAACTAAATACTACTAAAATTACTATTGCTAAACAGGCAGTAGTATCTCACCAGCAGCTCTCTGTGGCTCAGAGCAATCAGAACACAGAGCAACCTGCTCAAGGTCACCCACGAAGCCACTGGGAGAACAAGGAACAGAACCTGCCCAGCCTGACTCCATCCCTGCCCCATCCACAGCCTTGGCAGAGCGGGATCCAGCTGCCCGCATGGCACGGCCCTCAGGCACACCTGCTGTGTGACACATCAACACATCCAACCCAGCACAGGGGCTCAGTGCCTGCAGTGCCATTAGCAGAGAGCATGGAAAGCCTCCAAAGTGACTCATAAACTTAATGTCAGGACTAAGTTCCCGCAGTCAGACAATGAGCAGCAGCTGCTGCTGCCACCGAACGCTCGGTGACACGCGCCAGCGATGCAACAGCTCAACGTGGGCACAAACACCAGGACACACTCCCAGGAAAACAAATGTCAACCACACTGTCCCCACCACCCCCAGAACTGTGAGGACAGAGCCTGACATGGATGAGCTGCACCAGTTCTGGGGGTCAGGCCCCGTGCTGGGGGCTCGAGGTGCCTCCCGGGGAGCGAGGGGTGTGATGAGGATGGCAGAGGATGGCACATGAAGGGGAGCTGAGGCCCAAGAAGGCCATAGCACAGAATGACTCCCCTGTCCCAGCTGTTTGATGCACTCACTCCATGTTTGCTCTGGCTTGCTGCAGGATTTTGGCTCACAGAGCACATTTTCTGTGCAACTTTTGGAACACAAGTGAGCGCGGTGGACTGTGAAGGAGGAGGCAATGTCACCTCTGGGGACAGCAAACACAGTGTAACTCCTGTATTGTCGGTCTCACCCCTTTTTTTCACCTCCCTCTCCCTCATACACCCCATGTGAGCTAAGCTTGCCTTAATTTTGGGGGCTCAGCAGGGGTCTGCAGCCTGCCCAGCCTGCAGGACAGGGCAATAAGTACTGCAGCCAAATATAACTGACACCCCAAACTCATTCTAAATTCCTAAAGCATAAATAATAACCAGTCAGCTGGACACAATACTAAGAGAGAAAAATATTGCAGGCATGCAGATTATTAATGAAAATGGTACCAACTGGTTCTTCCTGTAACACATTTGCCACCTGCTAATTACCCTCAGACAAAAAGATGTGGGGAACAAGCAGCACATCCCAGAATCATTCCTACAGGACAGTTTGACTCTACCAGGAAAGTACATCTATCCTGCTCCATGTTTAATTTGGAGTTATCTAAAACAGCAAAGACACTAATTCCATACAGGTAAGGAGGTCCCTGCTGGCTGGGAAGCACAGAGAGCTGCCAGCTCAGGCCCTGCAGATCAGAAACAAAAATACACTCGATTTATTTGCCAAATAGACAAAAGTGTGCATGTCTAATCTCACAGTGCTCAAACCACTTCTGTCCCTCTCTTCCTACGATCCAGGTAAGGGGTGGAAGAACTGAGCACTTTATATGGCTGAAGGAATAACTTTCACCCAGCACCTGCACCACGTTTATTTTTGTGGTGAGAGGACCTAAACAAATATTAAAAATTCAGAGCAGGTGGGTTTTTTTCTCACTTGAAAAAAAGAGGAAAAAAAAAAGCAAAGAAACTCTGAGAAACACACATGATGAAACATTACAGGTCTTATGGACACAAAACATCTTAGCCCCAGCTTACTCCTCATCCAGAAGTCTGTGCAATCCCCCAAAAGGCAGCAGCCAAGGAACAGCAGGTATTTGGTTTCCATTTCGCAAACAGACAAATGACATCTCTCCCTCACAAAGCACAAACATGTTCCACAACCCAGGGGAAAGATGTTTCTCAAGCTTTCTACATCCATTCACTGGAAAAATTATTCCACCTCCTTCCCACAAAGAGCTCAGCATTTCGAGATGCAGTTTAAAAATGTAATACTGAAGAAATATGGGTGGATATGTAGGAGAGCTGTTTAGTAACTCAGCACAAAACTTTACTGATATTTTCTTTACTAATTAGCACATTAAATCATTATAGTTTTCCAACAAAATTCGTCACTCTTTAAATAGACATAAACACAAGGAACAGTTAGGTTCTTGAGTGAATCTTCACAGAATTATTCCAATTATTAACTAATCTAAAAAAGTGCAAATTAGCCAGAATCTAGAAGTTGCCATTTCTGTTAAAAGACAAGTTCCTTCTAAGTTTTGGTTATACCTGAAGACACCAGGTAACTCAGCTGCCTATTTCCAAACGAATTCCTTCAAACTGGAAGATTTCAAAACCAGAGGAGTTTTAAAAGCAGGAATCAAAATGTGGGTACTGAGATTTATGAAAACTTCTTTGTTTGGAGTCACAGCAATTAAGAGAGTGAAAGCTCAGCCAGGCTGCCAGGACAGATGTGACCAAGACACCCAGGCTATGATGCCAGTGACAAATGGTGAAGTGATAAGAAGGAATGGAGGGGGCGACAGCCTGAAGAACAGGTCAATACCACGCTGTCATGGAGCCATTTGAGAAACATAATTAATCTATTACTCACCTGGCATCATCATTCATTGTGCAGTGGTCAATAGGTGCCATGAAGCTCACCAGCTTGCTATGCACATGATACCTGAGGAGTGCAGGAAATAAGCAGGCAGCACATTAGTGACTATTAATGAAAAGGAAATGTTGCTGCTGGACTAGAACCACTCCAGCCCCTGAAAGGAAAAGCACTGGCTTTCCTGGGGGCTGATTCCTAATGAGTCACCAGTTGTAGCTGGCAATTCCCCCTCCCTTCCCTCTTCCTTTCTTACAACATGGACACAAAAATAATCAGATGATACAATGAACTGAACAGCAAGTAAATCCTTTTTTAGCCCAGTGAGGAAGAGGACAGACAGACTCCATTAATTGTGTGCGAGTCCGTAATCGGACTCCCAGACAGACAACCCTGAGAAGTCAGAGAAACACACACTCCTTTCCAGCCTTCCATTCAGCTGGCATCTTAATCACCTTCTGGAATCTGTGCCCAGAGCCCACTGCAGGCAGCAGGAGCATCAGAGCATCAGACCTTCTCCAGCATCCATCTGCTACCAGTTCTTCCTTGCTCTGTGGTATGCAGGGCCCTGAAGGATATGAAAATCCCACTCTGCAGCCATGTCCATAGTCGGAAAATCTTACCCTGAATAACTTACAAATGGAGCATGTAAAAACAAGCAAGGAGAAGACAGCAAAAGGCCCGTGCAAAGATGAGATGGGGCATATTCCCACCATCAAAATATTTCTGCAAGCTGTCCTGTACCCCCAGGCACAGGATCTCCTTCCCACTTTCCACACTGTAGTGCATTTCATGCCTTGTATTCAAGGACACAACATAAAATTTAACAGGGTACTGAAAACCTCTGAATGAAAAGGTGGCTTTAAACTCCGTGTCTGAGGGCAGGGGATTCCAAACCAAGGCACTGGTGTGCACTACCTGCCTACCCCAGCCTGAAATGTTTCATCCAGGCTGCTGCTATTTTTAGAGCTTGACAAATAGCAGGCAAAAGGATTCACTAGCATTTGCCCAGAATCACCTTTCCACTCTGTCACCTCTGCACTCCCTTTTGTTTGCTTATGCAGGAACATTCCCTCGAGGGGATTTTTAGCTCACAAGCCCATTTCAGGCTCTTCAGGCACAGCACACACTCACCCTCACACAAGGGCTTCTCTGCACAATCAAGTCTTTGTCAGTGGTAATGGAAGGAACTGCCCTGGCCTGATGCTGTAATGATGGAGGCAGGGAACAGGCACAGCTGAGCAGGGCTGGTGCTGCCACAAACGACAGGTCAACAGCCTGGGCTCTGAAACAGCTCCCTTATGAGACACTGCCATGGATTCAAACAGATCAAGGCTTACACTGCCACAGTCTGGCACGGGGACGTGGCAATTCAGGTAAATTCTCTGACACGAGTTGTTTGTGCAGATCTAATCACACCTTTTAAATCAGGACTTTGAAAATCCCAGTCTAGCAGATACGAAATATTTCATTTCATTCACAGAATGCTGCAGCAGCACAGGACAAAAAATCACTGACATGACAAGCAGGTGTGCAAACATCACTCCTTCAGGTCTGTCCCAAGAAAGGGCACGTCCCAGTGAGGGGAAGAAGAGTTTCAGGCACCAGCTTTCTCGACTGGGGAGTGTTTGGATGAGCTTATTTCCTCTCTTAATGCCCAAATTTCCCTGTCAGTGAAGGGGACAGGTACTCATGTCAGGTGGCAGGCTGACTGCTTTGGAAAGCATTTGAAGCTCCTCAGCCCCTGCAGTAAATCAGCATATTTTATCCAAACATGCTGTAATATTGAAGCTTTGCTAAAAGGGAAGGATAAAGGAGACAGATCAAACTTAGTATTAAACACTTTGCTCTCCAGAATCTCAAACTCCTTCATGAAAGGAAATTTAAGCATTGCTATCCCAATTTTAGAGAAGGAATAAAAAGAACAGAGGGTAAGGGATCTGTCTGGGGTGACACCAAGTCCCTCAGTGGAAGAACCAACTAATCAAAAACACCCATTTGGGCTCTACTTGCCTATTCTGAAAAGATACTAAAGCTTAACTTGATGTTAATCCTTACCACAGACAATGAGACTTTTTTCTTTTATTGCTATCTTCCCTGCAACTTTTATTTAAAGGAGCAAGAAGAGGCCCCTAAGATGTAAGAGGCAATTGGCTTGGTGAGATGGCTGCTCTCCCAGGAATGCTGAACACACACACTGCACACAAGGAGAGACTTCCCCATTATTCCTGGAGCTTTACGAGTCTGCCTCAGTTGTGTGATGCTGTCAGTAGTTTTGACTGAATCATGAATATATCCAATTATGTGTGATGCTGACAGAAAAGAATATTGATAGTCAATAATTATGGGCTTTTCAGGCCAACAAAGTAGCTCTTCCCTCTTTCAATAAATTATCCTATGACATCTATCTTAAAAATTGCTATGCCAGGCCTGACCCAGACTGACTCCACTGACTTTCTATCAGATGCCATCTAAACTCAGGATTTATAGTTTACTCACAAAAGGATGGTTAATGTCGCAGATTTTTCAGGAAGCAGAGCAGCTTTTCAGCATCCTCCCCCACCACAAATCATGCAGTCACGCTAAACTCAGGGAGACTGGGAGATCTGCTCTGCAAAGGGGGAAAACTCAGCTCTCCAGCCTGCCTCCCCTTCCACAGGGAAGGTTCTTCCACTGCCAACACAACCAAGCTCAACCCTAATTAGTGATCCAGGAGTGAAATGCTCTGAAGCTAAAGAGAGCTGTGACTTATCAATAAAGAGAGATTAGACACCAAATTCCAATTGGCAGTCAGTGGGAAATAGAGATCTACCTGAGGCAGTTCCACACATCTTCCCCTGAGCTGCTGTCCAGGTTTTAGTCAGTGAAATATATATTGCACAGGAGGTGTTTATTGGCTTTCCCTGGAAATTACGGCCCCAAACCGCTCAGGGATGTTTGGATGCCTCTCTCTGGTGTTTCCTGAGACCAATAAACACTCCTGCCAGGACTGATCGGGGCAATGCCCACAGGCTGCACCAACCAAGCCCTTATATTCCAGGCTCAAAGAACATCAGGATTCCCCAGAGTAAGAAATCCTGCCCTAAAAGTCCCGAATCAGCCCCCCAGAGCCAAGGCAGTGCTGTCAGACCTCAGTTGGCCAAATCACAACTCATGTTTGCTTGTCACCCACCGGATTCTCCTTCCTTTACTGGCTTTCCTGTCCACCTTCTTCTTTATTTTGCTCCTTAGCTTCTGGATGGCCAGCCACTGCCTGGGGAATGGAAAACAACAGGTACACAACTCTTAGAGTCACTGAACACCTCCAGAAACACCATCTGATCCCCAACTGTGTTGAAGGTTCCACTTCTCAAACAGAACTTCATCAAGTCAACAAAGTTTCCAGCAGGGAAAAACTTCTCCTAGTTATAAATATTTTTTTTTTTTTTTTTTTACTAAAAGGAGCATCATCTTACCTGATTTATACAATGAAAACTCAACATCAGGGAAAAAATCTAGCAAAATCCAATTACTGCAATCTTAATATAATCTTAATTACTGTAATCTATTTTATTGTAAAGTCAGATAAATGTACAATGTAATCACTACTTAAATGCAATTTTGTCTATATCACGTTAAATTATAGTGAATAGCTTTCCATAATATTCCAGACGTACACAAAATAAATTTGATGTGTTGCACCAAAATCTGGGTAATATTTTACACTGAGAAAAGTCGTTTCACCATCACAAAATTCTCTGCTGCATTTTCTTCCCCTCTCCAAACATAACCCCATGGGTTGCTTCAGGAGAGAGCCCAACTCCAGCATTCCCAGCCTTCCTTTGCTTTTACACTTCTCCAAAGTAGAGCCTGTGGTTATTTAAATGTACACTGCTCATTAAGTGGCACTTGGAAGGTTCTTTATTTTCGCACTCCAGAATAAAACAGAGAAGTAAGATCCTCCCTGCATGGAATTACAATTCACTTTTGCAAGCAGGAAACATTCCCTGATATTGTTTTAATTGCAGAGAATCTTTTCTTGCAGCAGGCATATATAGTATACAGAGGAACTGCTTTAACTGATGCCACAACAGGTTTGTTTCTCTAAAACAACAAGTCAGAGTTCATAAAGAAAACAGGTCAAATTCCAGAGGTATGGATTCCCTCAGTGCTGCCTGAACCACTGAGAGACAGAAATACCTGGAAATATCTGGGAAGTGTCTCCAGGGGATCACACACAAACCAGGGCACAGCTTAAAAGTCAGACTGTGTGATCCATAACTAAGGAATATGTTACAGGGGATGAGCTTCCTGACTAACATCATAAGGATTTAATAATTTCTTAGGCAATTTCTTAAACCCAGATGCTTTTTCCAGCTCGACTCAGTATTTTTCCCTCTACAATGAACTGGACTGGAAGGCCACAGGTGATTTTGCTGGAATGCAGTGCTGGGATGAAGGCAGTGATGTTACAGACAACTCCCTCCTTACCTGCCCATTGCTACCTGGTCGTTGGGGTCCAGGGAAGTGGTTTTACGCTCGATCATTTCTCGGAGGAGCTGGAAGAAAGACAAAATTCCCATTTACAGCCCAGTAAGGACATGTCAATGCAAACAGGCCCACAGGTTTCTCAGAAGAACTAACAATTAGCTGCCAGGTTCCCAAGGGCCTCGTTTTTGAAACTCCCTAGAAAACCTCAAGCCAAAACCGAGGCTTTGTAACATTTGCTCTGCACAAAGAGCTTTCCAAGGGAAAAAACCAATGGCTATGGTAAAAGTTTGAGTAAGTGTAGGTCATCTCCCTCTTCCAAAACATCCCCATAGAATCTGTGACTGGGGCATAACACCGAAGGCCACCACAAATAGTTTCTGTGCACAGTTTCAGATGGACCCAGGAGCAGTTCAGTCTTCCCTTCAACACAGGCAGAACTGCAGGAAGAGCTCAGCCCCACAGGCCTCACCCCACACTTTGTCTGGGGAGGGCAGGAGGGAACCTGAAGCACTTGCCCAACAGAAGTCAAGCCCTGCTGGGCAGTAACACTCACTCTGAGGAACAGCACAGCAAAATCAGTTTTACAGCTAGAGCAGGAATGCTCAAGCAGGCTTTTCTATTTCTTTTCGTGTCCTGAGGGCTGGGGTTTGTCCTTTTTGCTTCCTGCAGCCAAGGAATATTGTGAACAGCCTTTTTGGATAGTTGACTGGTGCTGTATGTTTATCACCACTCCCTGGTGTACGTGCTGTGCCTTGGGTATCAGCCAGGATATTAACACCAAGAACAGAAATAAACCCTCCAAAACTGAGGGGCACTGACTGCTTTAGAGATGCCAACATTTCACCACCCAGTGAAGTTACTGCCTCAGCTCAGAAGCACCCGAAACAGCCCCACCTGGAAACCAGAGTCCAGGCAATTCCACAAAGACAGTAGGGAAGAAAGGATGCAGGATGCTTTTCCTCCACCCTATACTTTCCTCTCCTTCAGGGCATACATCACATTACCAAAAAAAAAAAAAAAAAAAAAGTGATTCAAACATAATTAAAAACCTGCCACTACTTTTTTTTTTCCTATTTGCTTATTTTTGGAGATCATTACTGCAGCAATTACATTAAAAAATTCCAGGAGAGAGGCCACTGGTTTATTATCACTAGAAAACAGCAAGCTACTTCTCTGCCCTGTTTATCTGATTGATTCCCAACATCTTTCTGGCACACAATCTATCAGTTTATCTCTCCCACTTCATCACAGTCACTTCTGGCAGCTAAATACAAGATCCAAATCCAGTGTTACACAGACATACGACACAGTAAACCTGTGTAACACCGCCACTCTGTAAACAGCTGCCCTTAAGGCTAAGCAGAAATGGGATCTTGGTTTCTAGTCAATATTCTGTCAAAAGCAAGGTGGGAGGGAGGGTTGGAACAGCAGTGAGAAGTGGTGCAGAGAGGTTTTAGTGGTTTCTTCCTCTTCCAGCATTAAGGTGTGTTTACTGTCTCATCTTATCTCGTTCCTTGGCACGAGGCAGAGGGAAAACCGCTGAGCAGAGAAGGCACACGGAGATGGTCACACACAGACATCCCACGCTCCCAGGGAACTGAGCAGCAGGACATTTCCACAAGGACTTGCTCTTCCTGGTGGCCCAGAAATCCACAGACTGGGAGAACAAGGATTGCTGCCAGGATCTTACACCTATGCCCATCCTGGTCAGAACAATGGCTTCAAACTGAGAGAGTGGGGTTAAATGGGATATTGGGAAGGAATTCCTCCCTGTGAGGGGGGGAGGCCCTGGCACAGATTGCCCAGAGAAGTGTGGCTGCCCCATCCCTGCAAGTGTCCAAGGCCAGGTTGGAGCAACCTGGGCTAGTGGAAGGTGGAAGGAGATGAGCTTTAAGGTCCCTTCCAACCCAAACCATTCCATGACTCTAAGAGGCATTTTTGCACAATTCCTGTACTGATTTTGTTGACCTTGCCACTGACGAGGTCTTCCACTGTTCCAAATGTTCTTCCACAACAGTGTCAACTGCAGGACTGGGGACACTGCTGGGAAGAGCAGAGGGCGACAAAGACGAGGGAGAAGTAAAATAAAGCAGGAGCAAGAGGGAAATTAGGAAATAGGAAGAAAAGCTGCAAAGCATCTTGTTACATCTAAACAGCATATGTCTGGGGCTGAAGTTATAAATCATGCTAACAATGGTTACTAAAATAAAAGTGGATGTAGCCAGAGGCTACCACTGAAAAAGTCAGCCCAGGCCTCGCTGCCTTTGGTCTTTAAGGATTTGATTAGTTTTCTGCCTTCTAGTTCAGTGTGCTGCATTCAGCCCCTGCTCCAGAGCCAGCCAGGGCTCGGGATACAGAGGGAATGATAAATTCATTTACTGAATAAAACTACACTGTTTTCCCAGCACAAGACTTAAAACACTTCCGAAGCCGCAGTATTTCATTAAGCTTGGCGATTCTGGTTAAAATTTATTAGTCAAAACAGAAAACTCTCATCAGATCCATATATTCCATTAGGAATGATATATGGTGTCTCCCAATGTCTAATTATTAACTAGGAAGTGTAAGTAAATCACTATCAGCGTTGAGCCCTGATGTGTGAAGACTGAGTCTGCGTTAGGCAATTTTGGCATCAAAAGGCTTTGATTTGAAACAGATCCTATTTTGCTTTCCCTCCTTCACATCTTCCCTGAACTTCAAAACCCTCAGCTCAGTCTCCCATGGAAGCAAACACAACTGCAACGAAGCACAGCCACGTCCAGAAGCTCAGCTGCCAACTCTGAGCTGCCCCCACTGAAAGCTGGACCCAGAAGGACAAACTGTGTCGGGCGACGTGGAGCAGAAGGAAGTTGCTAATCCCAGTTTGGTTTTCTGTGGAAGGAAGGGGTGATGTTTGCCAAGAGAGCTCCTCACGTGCCTGCTTCTGAACTCCACAGAGTTTGGCCAATAACACCACCCCAACCACTCCCCAGGCAGAACCAGGCACCACCATCCACATGGGGGAAGAAAAGCCCGTGGAGATGGTTTGGGGTGGTTTGGAGATGGTTTGGGGTGGTTTGGAGATGGGAGCTGACTGCCCTGTGTCCTGAGCACACCAGAGCTGACAATCCACAGCTACTCACACAGACCAGAGTGTTCCCACAAGAACACCATCAGTATTCACCTGCCTTGGCTGCCACCAAAGCCAAAACCCACAGCAGAGTCAGGAATTGCTTCCTAAAGGATCAACCCTAAAGGGCCCCCTCTCCACGCCAGTTAAAGAGATGCACACAAAGTACACTGCACGAAATTAGAGGGACTTGGAAATGCCATCAGGGTGTTGTTCAAGGGTAATAGAGATTCATTTCTCATTTTAGAGGTCAATTTTCATTTTAGAGGTTAGGTCTCATTTTCATGCACTATCTATCAGTGTTTCTAATACTACAGTCGCTGACCTTTCTGATTTGCAGACCCCTAAGAATTTCCAGTTGAGACAAAGAGCTAAGGATGGCTGAAATCAGCCTCCTGACAAAAGGCTCACTTGTCTTAGACCTTACAGAGCAAATCAAATTAAAAAAGAAAGTCCATCTGTAGTATATCAAGGGCTCGAGTTTACAAAGCTTAGATATAAAATTGGAACAAAAGGAATGACTTTTCCCTGGTGTTATTAAGACCTTCAGAAAAGCCAGGGAAGGCACGGGTCACTTGTGCCACAGTGCATCAAAGGCACCTGCTCTGTCTTGCAAGTGGCACTGGTGCCTTTGAATTCCCCCAGTCAGGTGTGCCCAGAGGTGAGCACAGCTCTGCCAGGGTCCCCAACTCAACAATAATAATATCACACAGCTCTGACAATGTTCATTTGAAAACAACTGCACACAATGGAAAAGGAGAGCCTTGCACTGCTTCTCCCAGCTCAGTCACCTGCTGGAAGCAACAGAAACAGAGAAAGATTCCACTGCCTGTGGATTCTGAAACAATGAGAAAAATGGGAGAAACCCAGACTTAGGTTTATCAGCAGCTGCTTAACTTTACTAGAACACTCTGTCACTCCTAAAAAAAAATATTCACTTTATTAGTGAGGAACTCTGAAATATTTGCAAATGGTTATGTGGACTTTTCTAGCTAAATGTGTGTTTGTTGTTAGAGACAGTGAGTGCACAACTACTGTGGGGTGCAGGTCTTTTTCAACAGTTTAAAAAGCAGGGTTTTTTTAACAAAATCACTGTAGGAAATAAAAAGAGAGAAGCTGCATGCAATTTGTTGAGTCCAAGTGAAGATGTGCACCACCAGATGCTTTTCCTCCCTCCTGGTGAAAATGCAAAGTCACTCCTGAACAGAAAGTTGTCAAAGCTGCATTTTATCAATGTATTTTCATTACTATCCAATCTAACTTTCTTCTGCTTTAGTCCTCCAAGAGACATGGTGAATCATATGAATTTATCCTGCAACAACAGCATAAATCAGAGAGGTTGTTTCTAGCCCAGGACTCACTCAGCAAACACTTTGCCCTGAGTTCTGCCTGGAGGTACAAAACAAGCTGTTCCTTTTCTCCTTTCAAGCCCCACTCAGGAGCAGTGTAACACCATTTGGACTTCTACCAACACCAGAGAAAATTTAAGACTGCAGCTCAAATGTTACTTCAAACCCCCCTGAAACGCTTTTTAAAATTTATTTTTCTGAAATCTATTTACAAAAACTTAATTTGCAAGACGAAATCTTGCGGACAGTCTCTTATTGAAAACCATTTTATTCAAATTCAGGTTTGTGTAAGATGCACAGACTTGTCTATTTTCTAATAACCCATTAAGAGAAGTTCCAAATCAAGCTTTAAAACGTGTTATTAACCATCTACCCAGCCATTTGAAAGATACATGCCTGTGATAAGAGTATTGTATTGCCATTAACCTGTGGGATGGTTCGAGACATCTCTTATTCACACAAAACTCTAAATGCATCTAATTAAAGCCACAAGATCAGCTGTCCATATTAATCACTCACCGGTTTAATTAAGGTAAACCAGCTTGTCACAAAGCCAGTCTTCTCTCTATTCTTCACCATTATCGACTTTTAATAGTTCACTGGATTAGTAATTACTTGTTTATGGCATTATCAAATTCCTGGGAGAGGAAGGGGCCCAGGAAACTGCTTGAGACAGGAGGGGAAATTCACCCCATCAGGTAAAGTTTTCTGAAGAGCCACACAGTGGGATTTAAGGAGTGATATAGTGGGATTTAAAGAACCACACAGCAGGATTTAGATAAAAGTACGACTCAGAACAGAAACAAATTGATCTGGAAGTGTCTTAGCACGAGATTGAGAGGTGCAGGTTTATTTTGTGTTACTCAGATTAAAGCTGGGGGAACCTTCCAGTGGTAGGTGTCCCTGCCCACAGCAGGGGGTTGGAACTGGGTGGTCTTTAAGGTCCCTTCCAACCCAAATCAGTCTGTGATTCTGAGCACTAGGACAGGAAAAAGGAAATCAGTGAGATTTCTTGGTCTCTTGTAAAAGCATAAGTGTCACACTGAGTGGGCAGGCACATGCAGAGCCACTCCACAGGGACAGCAATAAAGCAAGACAGCAGTCCTACAGCTAACCAGCATTTTCTCCAGGATCAGCTCCTCCCTGAGCAGTCAGGGTGTAGGTAAGGAAGGCACTAAGTCTGTTCCTTGCTGTTCACACCTTGGGGTGACTCCCAGGCAGGAACAGCTATGCCAATGTGAGGCTGTGTGCAGGGATGACATTCCTCCCCAGCCACTGGCATTCCTGCTTGGCAAGCTGCTGCCACCCCTCTTGGAAGTCTTTGGTGTTTCCTTGGATGTTCCCCATCCCCTTTGGCTGCTCTCAGCTTCTGAAGCTGTGGTGCCCACGGACAAGGCTGGTGACTGTGGGTTGTTATAAAACACAGTGACGTACAACACAACCAAAACCAGGGGAGGAGGGAGCAGGAGAGCAGAGAAAAAAAAGGAATTATGTATATTCCCAATTCTCCTTAGGCATACCTGCTGCCATCAATGATGAACATTTGTTCTGGGAAGAGCTGCTACCAGTGGAACACTTAGCATATGAACACTAACCTAATTCCTGTTGGAAATAAAGCAATTTCCACTCTCTCCTTTACCAGAGGAGTATTTCAACCTAATAATAAAATCTCCACTGTAGCATGTCAGACCAGCAGCTCCCTGGTAGCAGGCTGGAATTTTAAGTCTTAATGCTGCAATATCAGCTGTAATGAATTCTACGTAAATATGACTTCTAAAAATAAAAAGCCTTTTTCTTCCCTTAAAACCACGTATGAAGGAGACTTTAAAAGAAAAGGAACTTGGCTCTAGCCAGTGATGAGGATCCTTCTGAAACAGTTTAACTATTCCCACTCAGTGCAACCCAAATAAAAATATTTCACTTGCATAATTCAGTTCAGCTTTCCATCACCATTCAACACGGGCACTGCAATAAAAATTTTGTGTTTGCTTATAAAACAAGTGAAGAATAGGAGAAGTGGGCAAAGTGGGATGAACAGGCAGAAGAGAGTTAAGTCCTAAATCATCAAAAAATTCCCCCAGACACACCTGCTGAATTCTACTGAACACCAAGACCTGGACAAGAAAATTGGTTTTCCACAAGAAAAACATCTTCATTAACGAGTTTTGTATTATAATCTATTATAAAACAGTATAGCTACTTATTCTGTTATCATTAACTTGTGCACATTCATCAGCTCTTATTCATTTTTACTTGCCTAATTTCCTACTGACACTCAGAGGAAGTTGGTTTCCAGTGCTATTCTTTGTCCGAATGTTTACCTTTTCAGCAGTAATCAAAATAAATTAATAATTATAAAATGTTATTTAGAAAAATGAAAGTGATACCCAAAAAAAGAAAAGTCTGGATGTAGATTTAAATAGGTAGAAAAGAGCAGGTCTTGAAATGCACCCTGCAATCAGTATAATGCACAGAGGCCAGAGGTTGGGAGCACCCTCAGCTCCGACAACCAGCGCCGCTGCTGAGCACTCCTGAAGAACCAGCTCCTTTCCTACATTTTATTTATATCCACGCATGCAATCACACACACACAAAAGCACTGCACAGTTATGACCCACGTGAAAGCAAACCCATTCAGGGCCTTGTCAGCTCTATTGTGCTGCACTCTCCCCTCTCTGAATGCCGCGTTCAGCTCCGGCTTAGCGCCCTGACAAATAAAGGAAAGCACTTTATGAATCCCATTTAATTGGGAGGTGACAGAAAACACACAGCCGTTTTCTCCAGCCTTATCACTGAACCGGCCACAGCTCCAATCTCTGCCAAATCCCACTGAACACGGGACATTAACCAGGCCAGTGGAACAGGTGCTGGGCGGCGGCTGGCACGGGGCTGCGTCCCCACGAGCACCGGGAATCCGTGCGGATCATCTCTCCCAGGAAGCATGGCGGGGATGGGAGGGGAGAAGAAGGGCGGAAGGGAGGGAGAGAGGAAGAGAAGGAGGGAGGGATGCAAAAAAAACCCCAAGCAAGAAAGGAAAATGAATGTGTGGCTGCCTGGCGGCTCAGCAGATGTCCGCGCGTGATGTACGAGGCCGGGATAAGCTGTCGGAGCCCGCTGCCAAGGAGTGGGAAGTGATTAAAGCCTGCACCAGGCTAAGCACCATATTTAGAGTCTATGGGGTTCCCAAAGTTGCACCCATCCCTCGCTGTGCCGCCAGATGTTGCTGGCTGGTCCTGCTCCTATCCAGGAGCAGTTGGTACAGCCTGGAATGCAATCTGGAATGCTTCCGGAGGTGCCGCGCATTAAACCCGTGTCACCCATCCTTCACCTCTGCCGAGTGCTGAAACAACTCCAATTTGCTGCCACTTCCCCCTTGGGAAATGGCCAAGATACAGTTGTGCCTGGCAGACCCATTTGTTTTACTCAGGTGATTCTCTTCCCTCAATGACCTCTATTAGTTTAAGTTTTAATTTAGATTAACCCCAGCACCCCAATTAACCAGCGAGGGGAAAAGCTAAGCTGGGACTAGTCATATTTCTGAAACCACGATTTATCGGAGTTAAAGTTATTAGAAGGGAAGACTGGGCCATTCATCTATTGCTATTTTTCTTTTGAAAATTTAACATTTCATGGCCAATAAGCACCTTCTCTGCACAGGTCCACGGATTGTCAATCTCAGCTATTTCTCCTTGACCAGTCCATGATTTTGTTACACTGACTTAATTTGGTTTTTGTTCTTAGGGTCCACCTGGCCCCCAAATTCCACCTCACAGATTTGGCTCTTTCAATTCCTGGTCCCAACAAGACAGACACTCTCTGATCAACACTTAGAGCCTACACAGGGGGGCCTGGCATCCTCCCCTGCCCCAGAGATGCTGCTCAATCCACAGCAGTGGAGACACACCTACAATAAATACAGAGCCTGGAGAGGAGCTGTAGCTTGGAATGCAATCCTGGCTCCAAGGCAGACTGCCCTGAGGAGATCCCTCACAAACATTAAATATTCAAATTGTCTTGATTCTGCACCAGGTGAGATCTACAAAAATTTTCTTGGGACATCTACAGCAGAAGGGTTGGAAGTGTGTTGGAAACCTTCTCGGAGGGCAAAAAAGAAAAAGGTAACATTAAAGTTCTCTGTATTTCCTACTGGTAAAACACAGACAAGAATTACCAATTTAATACACCTTTTCATTCACCCTAGTCCTGGCTCTGTACATGAAACCCTAGATTTTGGAAAAATTCAAATGCTTCTGGTTAAATCAGTTACCAGAGCACCTGGCAACAGCTCTCTTCCACTGCCCTAACACTTCACTAGACACTCTGAACACTATTCAGATCAAAAATTTCTGCCTTTCTAATGATATAATATTTGTCTAGTCCTGAAGTTCAAGCTCTCTGTGGATCATCAAAGCAGACTCAGGTTTTCGTGCCTCGGGGAAGGAATTACAGTGACGTATTCCTCAATATGTGACAACTTCCATTTTTCACAAAGCTGGCACTGTCTTTATTTAAACAAGCTACAAACACAAGGTTTCTGTGCACTGGGTGCAGACTCCTTGTTTCTAAGAATTTTGCAAATTAAAAGAATGACTGGCCCGGATCCAAGCTGGAATGACTCCAAGAGAAGTGCCAGAGAAGCCCTGCAGTTTTCCCATTCAGCTGGTAGGTGAGATGATTCAGGCTGAGACAGGAGTAACTTCGGTGCTTTTGAGGGTCTACTAGGATTGTTTTTCATAATGGGACTCTGCCCAGGGAGAACAGTCACCTTCAGGGAATTCAGTGATTTTTTTTCTCTTGTGTAGCAACATTCCCCAGGGAGAACCACAGGCTCAGACTCACCCTGCAGCCCTGACACCCCCAGAGCAGCAGTGCCAGGTTTGAGCTCACACAGCCCCCTACAACAAAAACTGAGAGCAAAGTCCCCTGAGATTTTGGATGTTAAGACAGGTAGCTGAGTTTCACAGGAACAAGAAATACAGAGCACAGAACCACCTGCATTATCTCTGTAAGTATTAAAAACCAACTGGAGGCATAATTCCACACATTTACCATCACCTACCTGGTGATAAAAGTCATCATCATCAAATATCTCCTCATCTATGTCCTTCAGGTGTCTGTTGGAATCTGAGGGAGGGAGTACTTCCTGGAAGCACAAAGGAAATACTGAAAGCTCATATGTGAATATTTCTGTCCCTAACTCCAACGACATCACGTGCAGCAGCCTGTAAACACACTTGATGATATGAAGGAATGGAGAAAAACTCCCAACATAACAAGCTTTTAAGGACTAGGAATACATTCAAAGGTAAGGCAGAAATGTTGCCAATGCCAAAATAGATTTATGATACCTTTACTGGGAAATAAATAGGACTCTGCAAAGTCTTTCTGGCAAAATACTACAGATATTTTTAATGTAATGGCAAAAATACATCTTGCTAGTGCAGTAATTCTACCTGATCTCTCAGAATTGAGTATTTATTCATTCTTAAATACTAAATTAATAACGGACTTACCACTAATGTATTCTGTAGGTTATATGCAGTACAATTTTGGAAGTGACTTTCTGGGTTAAAGACTCTGAACTGCAGCATAAAAAGCAAGTTTTGTAGCCTCGAAAAGCAGATTTAGTGAGCATCACTTCCTCCAGCACAGGAGGGGCACAATCCCAGCCCAAACCCTGTCAAGAACTGGGAAGGGAGATAATGCAAACACCATAAAACTGGAATTGAAATGCCTACATCTTCTCCTTAGCTGTTACACCGCAGGAACCAACACTCAGGTGTCTCCTCCATAAATCTCTCACGAACCAGAACGCTCCCTCTGCTAATTGCTGTGCAGAGTTTCCCCGCTGCTGCAGGGGGAGTTACAGGAACAAGGCCCCCTTACCGAGTTCTCAGGCCCGGGCTGGGGGGCTGGCTGGGGCTCCTGCTCCTGCTTGCCCAGCACGGTGTACACGGAGCGCTTGGTCTGGGTGCGCCGGAGCAATCTCTCCTTGTCCATCAGGATATGATCAATCTGAGTCAGGATGGAGCGCTCGAAGGCACCGAAACCCTGCAAACAGCATTAACCAGTGTCAGATAATGCAGAAAGCTTTTCCTCAAGGCAGCAATGCTCCCCTATCTTTCCATGTCAGTGGATAAGCAGACAGCATTCCAAGAGGAGGGGGTTTGGGTTGCGTCGCAGGGATTTCTGTTAGGATTTTATTTGTTTCTCCCTCGCTCTCCCTTCCCAACCTGAGGCAACTTGACGCCTGGCTTAATAAAATGCCTTTGCTGTTCTGGTTCAGATTAACTTCTCAATGATTAATACTAACTCGGAGATGTGAGGAGACCCTGGATCTCTGGGTGAAATGATTACCCATTGTATTAAATGTACACTCCACGGAGGAGGAGAGCCACAAAAGGCCCCAGTTCTGTTAGAAATCATAAACAGCTTGGAGATCAGCAATAATAAGCTGATAATTTTCATTTTCACAGAGCTTATTTGCTGCTGGAGACTGGTTGTGGTGAGATGTCTGGTCAGGAGATCACCAACACCAACTAAGAGTTTTTCCCCAAAGTTGTGAAAACGTTTGTCCCTGAAAATGTTATTTCTGCCTGTCTGCTCAAAACAAAAGGCTTATGTCTTTGACATGTGAGGGCTGAGCTTCTTTCCAGACTCCTCTAAGGTTGGGGAAAAGCGTGTCCCTGTGTATTTAGTTCTTGCTGTGTTACCTCTCAGCTTAACTTGGAACATTTATGATACAAAACTTCCAAATAAACTTAGAATCATAGAATCATGGAATGGTTTGGGTTGGAAGGGATCTTAAAGCTCATCTCCTTCCACCCCCTGCCATGGGCAGGGACACCTCCCAGGTTGCTCCAAGCCCCGTCCAACCTGGCCTTGGACAATTCCAGGGATGGGGCAGCCACAGCTTCTCTGGGCAACCTGTGCCAGGGTCTCCCCACCCTCACAGGGAAGGATTTCTTCCATATACCAAACCTAAATTTCCTCTCTTTCAGTTCGCGCTTGTTCCCCAAACCTCTGCTCAACAAAAGCAGGTCAGCACACACAAGCCAAGACCTGCCTTTCCCATTTTGCCAGTTGCCAGCTTTGTCTTGTCGTGCCACTTCTGCAGGACGCTGTTCCGGTAGGGCCTGAGCTCCGCGTAGCGCTTGGCGATGAACTCAGGGTAGTCCTCAAACTTCAGCTTTCGCTTGGGGAGGCTCCTCCTCTTCTCCTGGGCCTTATCCACCTGCTCCTCATCGCTACTGCTCGGGATTTCATCCTCACTAGAACAAAACACGCAGGCTGAACACCCTACACCTCTCTAAGGCAACGTGTGAATTCTCAGCGGCCCCTCCACCACTGGCTTTTTCCACACCATGGCGGTGTTTTTGGCACAAGGCCCACGGTTTAGCCCCTGCTCCGTTATCAGAAAAACTACATAACACACATCCCACAAGGCAGAAGGAATTCAAATGGTCATTTGTCCGGAGTATCTGTCACCCAGACACAGCAGCAACTGAGAGAACAGCAGAGTGAGGGTGGTCAGGAAGGCTGTGCATTGTCCTGTTTGCTGGAGACAAAGGATTCAGAAAGATTCAGAAAGATCTTGCCTATTTTTGGATTTACCTCTCAGCTTTTGCTTGCTTTCCATCCACCAGGTGCCTCGTGCCTGGGTACTGATAAAGCAGCTCGTCCTGAAGCTCCACCAGCACTTTCAGCAAGGCCTCCAGAGTTTTACAACCTGCAGAGCAAGAGACACAAGTGACAATTTCTTGCTCCTGGTGAACACTCAGCTTTGCAGTGCTTAGTTTCTCATCTTGAATCAGAATTTCTGCCGCAGCCACTGCATGTCCCATTAACTGTTTGTCTATAATCAGTTAGAGATGTGGTTTTATCTTCAAACTGATTTATGGCTGTTAATGTCAAACACCACCACGCTGGGGGAGAACATTTCTTTCCTAAGAAGGGAGGAAAGGAGGCAGAACTGCCTTCTAAACATCTGCCTGGCTGCACATTGGGAGTGTACTGATCTAATGTTTCATCCACAAACATTCCCACTGCAGAGCCTGAAGGATTAACATCCTAAAGAAGCAACACACATGTGACAACAATCTTTTTGCTGACTCACTCGTTTCTCTCCTGTGGTAAGTTCTGCAGCAGAAGCAAGACTCATTTGAATAATATGACACAAGGGAAAGTGCACATATGTACAGGCCCTCCACACTGACCTCTGACTTTCCCTTCTTGTACACAATGTGCATGTTGTAAGAAGAAAAACCAAACCCCAACCTCCTGTAGGGCTTTGACCATCGCTGTGCTCACCACACAGGAGGGGGGAGAACTCAGACTGCAAGTAAAATTAAGTGTAGCAGGATCTGAACTATGGGGGAAACTTAAACAATGACCTGGCAAGTTTAATGAGAAGATCCTGACCTAAAAAGTAGAACTGAAGGTCCGGTGATCCTCAGAAAAAAAGGGAAGAAAAGATTGGTGTGGAGAGGTGTAAAATGATCAATACAGGTGAGTTTTACAGGGATGAGCAGTTGCACTCCAGGGTGTTCACACACAAATCCTGAATGTAGATCTGATGCTGGGTATCCAAAGGCTTTTGCCCCTGACCATTTCCCTGTATCCATGCAGTGGAGAAAAAACAGTGTCTGTTCCAATGACTATATGTTCTCCAAGGACACAGAGCTGCAGTTGACCATGGGACAGGTTAACTGCACACTGTCACAGCATCTGTTCTTTAAAAATAGTTCTTTTGTGGCAACCAACAAGCCTCCCTGCAGAACTCTGCCATAGAAAACAAGTGTTTGCCTGGGCCTACACAAACTCTCCCTTTGCACATGGCCACACATCAATCCCAGGGTCAGCTCTCCCAGGTAAAACACTTGGCACACTTATACCCAAAAATCTAAACTGAACTCACTCTGCCTGGCAGAGCACGTGGATTTGTGTGGAGGCAGGAGGTGGAACTTCCCCAGAGCCTCCTGTGCCATGAAACCAGCAGGGCTGCTCTGCTTAACTCCCAAACCTCCTCCTCTGTATTTGGCACAAAAGAACAGAGAGAACTTTTCGCCACTTGATTTTTTTCCTTATTTCTTTTTTTTTTAATGGGGGACACAGAGATCATGGGTAGAGTGAACAGCAAATCTTCCTCAGCCAGACAGAGACAGTGCCAGCAGAAATCAGCCCAGACACTCAGAGGTCTCAATCTCCCTTGTGTTACCACTGTGATATTGCTCAGTTGTCACCATCTTCAGATAAATTACGGCCTGACCTCAGTAACAGGAATGTCAAGGAGAAGATGCTTTAAGATTTTTGTTGCAGATCAGCTGTTGGATTCATCCTCCCCGAGCCCAGGGTTCATTATAGATACGTTCTGACAACTCCTCTATATAAACCTATTAACGGATTAGGTTTGCTGCACTTGTAAATCAGACGTGTGTTAGCATCAAAACAATTCCATGAGACAAAAGCCCTTTAAAAAATGCATTTGTTGTGCGTGTCTGCAGCTAAAGCATCACTTGCAAAAGCAAAGTGCCCCCACCCCAGCCTGAGTGCACAGCTTACACCAGCAAAATCCTTCCCACTGCCTGCAACACAGCTAAATGTCCCCAGAGCTTCCGAAACTGTTTATTTTCTCCCCGCTGCCTCTCCTCCAGCAGCAGTGCTAATGCACCCCAGGCAGCTTTGATCCTGGCAATTACAACTGGAGTAGCACTCCAGCTCTTCTGGGGTATAGCAGGGCCACGGCAAGCAGGCAAGGAAATAAAGACAGGCTCAAGCTCCCCCGGGCTATGAGATATGGACCCCAACAGAAGTGGGGATGGGGAGCAATTTTATTTGGAGTGAAGGGGATGGAGAGGGCAGGGAAGACAATGGCTGTGCGTCTAACCAGGTGGGAGGGCTAATTATTCCAGGCAGTGGCTTCATCAGGAGCCTCTTACAGCTGGGTAATTTCCGTGTTTTCAGTCCTTGTGTATTTAATAGCATTACTGCATGGCATTCTCATTGTTCCTGTTGGCTGCTTAAGTGTGCTGTAAACTCAACTTCAGAAGCCAAGTGTCACCCTGCTCCCTTCCCATCCAGCCCTGTCCTATCCATTTCATGTTTAATTCCAGAAGGGACTGTTTTCTTCCCAGTCTGCACTTCATCTTCTCTTCCCTCTAATGCCCTTGTCTGCCTTTACACCCCTGCTCTGGGGAAGAGTCTGAACCCATTTGTGAACGAAGGCAGCACAAAACAGAACTGTTTCAGGGGTGCAAACTGTGCCATTTGGAAAGGCAGCCGGACACTGACCCTCCCGCTCCCCCTACCTGCCCCCCAGCACATTTTTTGTAATGCTGCTCCTTGTCTGAAACACACAATTAAACAGAAAACAGCCACAGACACTGAGCTTTCAAACGCCCCAGTACACTGAGGCGACCAACTCGCAGCTTTCACATGTGAGAACCATCAGGTCTGTCCCTCCTGCTCCCTTCACAGAACAAAGCCAGTGACACCTCTCAGGGACAGGTAATGCCAGCCCTGGCCATGGAGCAGGGATCTCCCACTGCCATGACCTGTGGTAGGTTCCAGGCAGTCCCTGATGGTTTTGTTTATAAAGCTTCCAGGACCAAGAAGGCAATGACACAAACCAGCCAAGGATGAAACAATGCTGTTAACTCTACAACTGCCCTGCCCCTACTCCCCCTGACCCTGATGCCAACAGCTTATCCCAGCTGCTCTTCCCAGCACAGTGCCCAGGACAGTGTCAGTGACTGCAGACACAGCACTGTGAAAGCAGCTGGAAAGTGTGGAATGTGAAACCCTCCCGACCCAACTTTGCTGGCACAGTTCACCCCAGCTGGTGTCTCTCTCACCCCTTCTCTCCCACTCTGTGCTGGCAGCTTTGCTGCATCCCTTATAATCTGCTCTCCAATGTGCTGGGGTAAATATTCCACCTTATTTATCAACACCAGTGTCACAACTGACACCTTTAACACTGGCCCATAAATCATCAGTGAGTAAGATCTCAAAACTATCTCCTTTTCCAGGAGTTACGTCTGCACATCCAACCTGTTGTTTGTGAGGGCAGGTGACTCAGTACTGCCTTAAAAACTAAGGAAGCTGATCCCTTTATGGCATCTAAAATCCTCCCAGACAACTCAAACTCTGTGTGTGGGGGAGGCAAATGAACCCCAGGACAACATACAACCCCTCCTTCCATCAAACCTTTCCTAAAGCTGCCCTTTGGGAGAGAGAAAAGGATGCTGAGTGGGATCCATCTGCAGCTGCCCCACGAACACAACAAATGTGGTTTGAATAAAACTTCCAGCTGAAATGGGACTCAGAGTGTCTGTGGGAAGACACTAACTTGTAAGAGTCACTTTTGAGAGTCCACAGGAGCCCCTTCATTTTGTGTATAGGAGTGAAAAAGTTCTTCCAGATCCAGCAGGCAGCATATCAATCCACCAGGAAAGCTGGGAGCCAGCACCAGTAAATCAAAGTGTGCCTTTCTGTTAATACTCCCTCACACGTTCTCATTTTATACATCCCTCCACCCAGCCAGGAAGCAGCCCTGGAGTATTTAGCTCCACTCAGGGATAGCACTGCCATGTATCAAAGTGTCAGGAGACCCACCAGAGATGAAATCTGTCCTGCTGCTCTCAAACCACAAAAAATCAATTTTGTCAATGCCAGTGGTTATGGACAAACTGGTTGTGCTGGTGGCACCCCTCGGACTGGGGAGGGCTCCTGGTGGCAGGGGACTGATCCCCCAGGCTCTACCCCCTCATCCATCCTCTCCACATGCAGAGTTGCTGTGGAAGCCCACACAGTGCCATGTAGGATGGCTTCAGTGCTCATCCATGCTCCTACTCCAGCATTCCCACAGCTTCCTGCACAAGAAAAGATCTGTGCTCTTTTCCATAACCTCTAAAAATGGGGTCTCATTCCATCTTCCCAAGCAGCTGTGGAGAGCAGCAGCTGGTGAGGAGCAGCAGGGAGCTTTGAGCCCGTGGAAAAAAGCTGGAGCCTCAAGACTTTCCAAGGTATTCACAGAGCCAAGCCCTGGGATTCCCAAAACTTCTCCACTGGGCACATTCCTCCCTGTCTAACCCCGGTCCACCCATCCAGCAGATTTGGAGCATGATGGGTTCACAGAGGCAAGCCCTGGGATTCCCAAAACTGCTCCACCAGGCACCTCCTTCCCACCTGACCCTGGTGCATCAATCCAGGAGATTCTGAGCGCAACGGGTAAGGGAGGAGATCCTAAAATTGGTGCAAACCTCCCAGGATTTTTGCTCCATGTGGCACCTTGCAGGCCGCTGCCGTGGCAGTGCTTCCCCCAGCCTGAGTTCTGCTGGGCACACACCGTATCCAAACACACACAGAACACCCTTCCCAGGATGTGCCAGCAGGAACCAGCGCCTGCCCAGCCCTCAGCTCCACTTCAGAGCCCACGCCAACACCGGGAATTAACTACTTTTTCCCCTCAATTAAATCTGAGGATCTGGCATCACAGGAATATCATCGCCGTGCTGGCTTTTCATTTTCCATGCACCTCCACAGGCTGTGGAAGTGCTCACACACAAAAGCTGGTGTTGGAATGACAGGATGCAGAGCAAAAGCCGAGCTGCCAAATACTGGGAGCGTTCCCCCTGCCAGCACAGAGAGTCCCTGTGTTCCCACAGAGAGTCCTCACAGAGAGTCTCATGTCCCTGCCACACAGAGCGGGCGCGCCGGCCACATTATGCA